TATCATTATTGTTTGTGATTCTGTACTCTACAAGTCGTTACTTTTTTTGTCTTAGGGGTTTCTGGGTCATACTATAAGGTGATTAATGAAAATATATTTACTTGCCAAAAAACAGATTTAACACCACTCTACTATTATTTAATATATACATCCCTTGACTTTTTTGAAATAGTAAAAGAGCAAAACCACGTTACAATCAGGGTTGTAAGTTGGGCTGGCCTAACCCAGTCCAATCCCAACCCAATCTTAACTCGAAACAAATTGAATTGGGTCAGCTCGAATTATACTCAACATGGGTTATAGTCAAAACCCAGACCGAATGTTTTCGGGCCGGCCTGATCGGGTTGACGGGTTAAATTTTTTTAAAAATAATTTTTTCCTTTTTTTCAAAAAATTATATATATATATTATATATATTTGATTATATTATTATTAAAAAACAAAAAAAAACATTTAGGGCAAATCATTTCAGCCTCCCCAATCGCTCTCATTCTCAACTCTCTCTCTTTCTCTGCAACTGCAAACTACAAAATCTACAAGAATTAGAATTTCAAACCCATATATTTCAGATCGGTCTGCAAGAATCAAAAGTTCAAAACCCATATATTATATCTAAGGGTGACTCGAAGGATCTGATAATTGTTTTCGAAGCAGGATGCGAGAAATTCTAAATCATTGGAATTCCGGAGGGTGCTAAAACTAGTTCGCTGATACAAGTCAAAGAACATCTGGCTCTGATAGATCTTAGGGTTTCTGCAATTTGGATATTAAAAGACTACAAGAAGCAACTATGGAGTAGGCAGAGTCTTATCCTTCCATTTTTTGGCGGCGGATCAGCGGCTGAGGGAGAGGGACGACGGCGGCAGCGGTGGATCAGCGGCCACGGTAGCAGGGACGGCGGTTGAGAGAGAAAGAGAAAGAAGAGAGAGAGAGAAAGAAGAGAGAGGAGAGAGAAAGGAGAAAAAATAATAATAATAATAATTTTGGATTTTGGGTTCGGGTTAAGAGAGAGAAAGAACACATTTCTATTTTTTAATTTGCTACAGTACAAAAAAATAAAAAAGTGACTTACCCTATTGATGAAAATTTTTGAACAATAACACCTTGTGTTAGTAAAGTTAACAATGACACCTCCTCCTCGGTGGTAAAGTAAATCGGCTTTAATGATTTTGACTTGTGAATTGATTTATTTAAATTATAAAATTACCATTTAACCTTCAATTATAATTATTACCATTTTATGCCATTCACGGCTGTGTGCCCCTTAAAGTCAATTATTTTGAAAAGGGAATGTATAGACATAATATAACACACACTCGCTCATCAACCCCATCACCGCCACCAGCCTCCTCCCGAGGAGGCCACAACAATTCATATTCTCACTCTCCACCGCCGATCTTCACCCCCACATGCTCCCCCACATGCTCCTCCCGAGGAGGCCACAACAATTCATATTCTCACTCTCCACCGCCGATCTTCACCCCCACATGCTCCTCGCCCTCAGCAACTTATTAGGCCTCCCACCGGAAAACCACATGCTCCTCGCCCTCAGTGGCCTATTAGGCCTCCCACCGAAAAAATAATTTTATCACTAGGCATGGAAGATCAGAAAGGATGTTCGAATTTGCAGGGAGATATTTTATATTAAAAATTAATTAAAAAATAAGTCTGAAATTTTATATTAAAAGTAAATGAATTCAAAAGGTGTTAAGAGACACAATAATTATGTAGTTAGTCCATCACCAAATTATTGTGACTTTCTTCTTCTTTTAAAATATATCTAGAAATTGAGAGTTAAAAGTACAAAATTTGGCTTACTAAATCAAGCCCTCCCAGTGCCAAAGCAATCATTTTACAGTGGCTCAGTGCCGACATGAATCTCAAAGACAATAGTGAAATAAGGATATGATTTTTACTATTATTTATTTATTTAGTCTGCTCAGTGTGTCCCTCACAACGAGTTTAGTAGATTAGAAAATAAAGGAAAGAAATTACGGTATTAAAGATGAAGGAAATTAAAAGAGAGGAAGAATGCTTAGGGAAGGAAAAGAGGGGAAGAGAGACTGACCTTTCATCCTGTTGTTCATCACTAACAAAGGAAAAGACCGGAAAACCTTTTAATTTTGAACAGCAAGAACGGAATAAGAAATTACTTACAAAAGAAGAAACGAGTAAAATAATCAATATATGTCTGATTTCTTTTCCTTTCACTTCTAATGTTATGAGGATTGATACTGCACCAATTCACGAATTGATTCAAAGATGAATGTTGAAGGTTCAAGTCTTCATAACAATGAGTTCACATGTGTGAATGTGTTTCTTGCTAAAGTAAATAATAATAAATTAAAAAAATAATTACTGTTACTGGAGTTATCCTAGGCTCCAGTTAAGAAGGTAGATATGAAATGAAGAAAATAGTTATTCAAATCACAAATATATAAAATGCTATTGAAGTTGAATTGAGAAAACACATGGATAGAGTAGCAGAAAATAGATACAGGGGAAATATATTTTATTAAGATTAATGTACAATTGTACTCCTTAACATGAATTACAAATAACTACTTTAGTTGAAATAGGAAAATGATTTGTCCTCTGAAAACGAGGGGACAAATTAATTCTTAAACATCTCGCAGCGCTGGATACTTTGAAGTAAGACTCATGCGGTTTGAAGTGAAACCCACATGGGTCCCACTTCAATGCATCCAACAGCTACGGGTTGGTTTGGAATGCTTTCAGTTCTCCAGTTGCAGAAGTCTAATTTGGTTCTTATGGAAACTTATGTGTTGAGCCGCAAAATCACATCCATTGATTTTAAATTTATCCATCCAGATGAAGAGAAGTTTTTGATGAAACCCCTCTTTATTTCAAATAATTTTTTTTTCAAGCTTCTGGTCCGGACTAAATTTTAATTTTAGAGATCTGTTGTTGAATGAAGAATATGATGATGAAGAAGAAGAAAAGAATGGTCAACACTTCCAGTTAGCTTAGGTCACTAATGCAAGTGAATTCTTCTTCTCCTCCCTACCATTCTCTTTCTTTCCTTTGACTGCATGAAATAGAGACCGGGTGTTTTGGTGGATGGATTAGTGGAACGGATAAGAATTTCTTAGTTCTGACGGTGTGATCACCTGAGCCATACTACAACGGCTAGGTCCACGATCCTATTTAGTTTTCACAATTGGGCTAATCCAAGCACTGAGCTAGAGCAACCCTGACGGGCTTTTCTGCCTAAAAGTTTTTTATTTCCCTACTGACATGACCCTATTTAGTTTTCCGACTTGGGCTGATCCAAAGCCCAATGGGCTATAGCAGCAGGCCAGACGGGCTTTGCTGTCTAAAAGATACTCCGTGTTTCTTAGACCTCTCTTCCCTTTGGTCAATCCCTTTTACAAATTTGTAAAGTCAATTTAGATGAGGAATACACACAAAATACGTCATTCTTTTAGCTGTATAATATATATATATATATTAGAGAGGTGCCTTGTCATGAACATGAACTTTACCTCATCCTATCAATCAAAGTTTGTAAAACAATTCTATATTTTTAAAATGTAATTGATATTTTAATACTAAAGTTTTAACTATAGTAAGTGGACCAAACTAAATAATGACCATTCTAGTAATTCAATTTTTAAATTGATTTTCCTTCTAATCCAAATATAAAATGCAATTTCTATACCATCAAACGCAAGATAGCACACCGTTCGGGAGATATTGGATAAGTACGACATATTAATGACATGGTATCCAATCAGAATTGAGGCTCACATGATATCTTTCCCTTAATCGCACCACCAAAAAGGAATAAAACCCACCTGTGTGCTATTTACAATTCCTTAGCACGTGAGTTTGAGTTTTAATTTTTTAATTTATTTATTTATTATTTTTTTTTTTTCAGGATAACTATAATAATAAAATCCTAGACTAACACTAGATTAGCGTGTTTGCAGATTCTGTCAATTTAAGAGTATTTTATTAAACAACTCAATCCAAATATAACCCGTTTAATAATCGTATCAAGAATACTTAACACTAACTCGACCCGTTTATTAAACGGATTACACATGTAACCTGTTTAATGATCTGTTTAATAAAATCAAATATTTTATTATTTAAATTATTAATAATATTCAATCAAAAATTAAATACTAGAAAAATAAAATATAATTTTTAATCCAACTAAATTACTAAATAATCTCTAATTTACCAAAAAATAAATTAACCGAAGTCGTTCAAGGTCAACCTAACTTCATTTAACTCATATCGTGCTTAAATCATATTAACAAATTGTGTCAAACTTTATCACCGTTAATCATATTATGCAAGCACTCTCTGTTGGAGAAACACACAGTAAATGTGTAAAATAAAGCATTCGGAAGAGAGGGATGCCAGGACGGATCCAACATCACAAGGGGCCTATAGGGACGTTGGTAAAGCACACGTGTCACCCAAATGATGGCGATGCTGACCTGGCAAAAAGCCCCGGATCTTGGCGGGAGAAATTCCACAAGCCAACACAAGCCCCCAGCCAAAAGATATTTCCCGCCGGTCCTGTTCTCCAGCTATGGACCCCACCTTTCACGCCCCAAAAAAACATCTAGATATATCCAGAATTCCATACACACACATTATCTACTACTCTATTAGTGTGTGTATTGTTGAGTACTATATACTGTATATACTGTATATATATATATTATACATATCAGGCGAATCAGTTGACTTTTCTACCCTCCAAATCCAAATACCAAAGAGACTCCCCAAATTAAAATTCCCCCACCAGCCAAAGAACGCCACCCCTATCTACGCTTTCTCCTCTTGCCACGTGTACCCAGACCTAGATCTGAGCCCTTCGTGCCAGATGTGTTGGCCAGAGTAGATCGGGCAGCCATAAACGACACGTGGACCGTCCGATGGCGACCACGCATCTAATCGACGGCTGAGGATCAGCCCTACACAACATCGGGCAGATCTTGATGCCTTTAAGAGTCGGTGATGCCCTACGCTTTTTTCCTCGTTCTGGTGAGGAGGAGGGTCTTCGAAACCCTGCTCTCTACGTTTCTCTGCTTCTCGATTTCCTCCTTTTCCCTTCCATACAATTCCTGCGGTTATTCTCCGGCCGGCGTTTGTTAATCTTTCCGGTATGGGCTGTTCCCGCCATTTTCTCGCCGGAGATTAGCCGCCGGAACCTAACGAACCCTTTTCTTCTCTGGACTTTACATTTATGGCCTCGGCCGTTTTGGCGAGTAGAAATGAACCTCACTGGGGTGAGCGCAAGGTTTATATGAGGAAATACACCAACAACTCAAACAACAATCCTCATCTGAACAAGTTCAACCCTAACCCTAACACCAACTCCAATCCCCCAAATTCAAACCCTAACCCTATTTCTAACAGACAAATCCATGATTTTTCAAGCAAGCCCCATGTCTGGCAGAGTGATGACCCAACACAACAGAACGATCTGCCGTCGCCGGCGGCGGACGATTCTTCTTACAACCGTGAAGGGTTTAACCTCCTCGACTGCAGAGAGTCGTCCCGTGGAGATTATGTGAGCTTCAATCTGGCGGCATATTCGAGAGCGGAGCTGAGTGAGCTCAAGAGACGTCTGATTTCGGAGCTACAACAGGTCCAGAGCCTCAGGGCTCGGATCGAGGCCAGAGAGATGGAAACCAGATGCGGCTACCCTGCTACTCCTCAGTTCTCCGACAGCTATGGAGTCGGTAGCGAAGTCGTAGCTGTCACTCGGCCGCCTCAGCTTCAACTGGACCACCACGCAATGGAGTCTCCCGGAGCCGCGGCGGCCGCGGCAAACGAGATTCGAACACCAAAGGCGAGTCAGTACCATCCACCAAATGAATTTGTTGTCACCGAAAAGAAGAAAAAAGGTCCAGGACTGAAGCGCGCGCAGAGTTTCCCTTCCGGCAGAGGTCCAAAGCGACCTGCGGTGTTGGATTCACAGGCGAACAAAATCTTGACGATCATGATGAGGAGGTGTAAACAGATCTTGACGAAGCTGATGAAGCACAAGCACGGTTGGGTGTTCAACACTCCCGTTGATACAGTTGGTTTGGGGCTACACGATTATCACAAGATCATCAAGCATCCGATGGATCTTGGAACTGTGAATTCAAGGCTCGGTAAAAATGAGTATAGAAATCCCCTGGATTTTGCTTCTGATGTGCGATTGACGTTCAAGAATGCCATGACGTACAACCTTAAGGGCCAGGATGTGCACATCATGGCCGAGAATCTGCTTTCGCTGTTTGAAACAATGTTCAATACTGCCTATAACAAGTTTGAGTCCGAACATGGCCGTGCGGTTGCTGCAGAGCAAATGAACCAACGGAGTTGGGTTCCTCCTCCACCGTCACCGCCAATACCACCAGCAGAGAATGTCAGGAATGAAGCAATGCAGCAGCAACTTGATCCAATGTATGGTCAACAGAGGAATGCAGTGCCTGTTCAGGTACAACAGGTACAAGCATCCATGGTGCCTGTACCAGCATTTGTGACATTGCCACCGGATGCAAATCCTGTGGTTTATTCGAGATTGGCATCGAAAATTCCAAAACCTAAAGCAAGAGATCCAAACAAGCGGCAAATGACCATGGAGGAGAAGGAGAAGCTGGGAATGTGCTTGCAGAATTTACCACAGGAGAAGATGGAACAGTTGCTTCAGATTATACAGAGAAGAAATACTCAATTGGCGCAGGAAGGTGATGAGATCGAGCTGGACATTGAGACCCTTGATAATGAGACGCTGTGGGAACTGGATAGGTTTGTGAGCAAGAAGGCAGCTGGTAAGAATGTGAGGCAAGGGCTCAACGGTGAGAACTCAATTTTGACGACTCAAATGAACAAGGTAACAACAACAATACAATGTTTTGCTCTCATTAATTTACTTTGTGTATGCTTGATTTGGTAAATGATGGTTTTGGGTGTTAAATAGCAGTCACCTACGTCTACGTCTGAAGCCGCATTGCAGAAGAACAAGAAAGGGGATGCTGGTGAGGAAGATGTTGACATTGGAGAGGAGATTCCAGTGAGCAACTTTCCTCCGGTGGAGATTGAGAAGGATAGTTCTAGCAGCTCAAGTTCCAGCAGCGATTCCTCTTCATCTAGTGGTATTAACACAAACTCTCTAAAATCTCTCCTGGAATGTTAATTATTATCTATGCAAGGTAGTCAAATTTTATATGGGTTTTCTTCCAATTCAGATTCGGGGAGTTCTTCAGGGAGTGACTCTGATGCAAAGAGTGTACAGTCACCATTTGTTGAATCAAAAGAAGGCCTTGTGACCTAAAGTTGCAATGAAGAAAATTGTTGATCGGAAGTTGCAATGAAGAAAATTGTTGATCGGGATCAAGTGGAGATGGGGGTGACCTTTTATTGTGGGTGAATTGTTGTTTTGTTGGGGATACAGTACATATTGGGTTGGGGGAAAAATGGTAATGGTGGTGGTGGTGGTGGTGGTGGTGGTGGGAGATAGAGGATTTGTAGTCATGTATGTAAAAAGAATGACTAGAACAGGTAACTTTTAGATTAGGACTGAGAGATGGTAGGCATTGGGAAAGTGGAAAAGGGTTGGTTTAGAGTAGTTGGGAGACTCAAAAATGATAGAGAAGAAGGGTTTGAGACTTTTTTTGTTTTTTCCGTCTTGGTGATTTTCAGAGTTATTTAGAAGCATAGCATGAACATGTACAGAGAAGGGGTTGAATCAAATGGCAAAATGAAAATCTAGCTCTTTTTTAAGTTAAATGAATGACAAAGCTTGTGGCTCTATTTTCCCTTTCTTTTTGAAGAAATCCAGCCTTGCGTTTGGTTAATGAGTCCTACTCTTGTTAAGATCATCAACAATGGACACCAAGACACAAATCAATCTGGTTGAATTAAGAAGCAAAACAACCTAAGAACGGTTGGATGATCTTTGACCGCTTTAGAGCATACATGATCTTAATGGAAGCTTGATGAACTTCGCTAATAATGTTTGGAAGGAAAGAGTACCAGATTTGTGTTTGTGTGTGAATTTTTTTTTTTTTTTTTTTTTTTTTTTTCCGACCTAGTCTGTGACAATAGAGGAGGTACCATATATGCAGAACTTCCACCTAAACAATGCCTTTGGCCTCGGGTAATTATTCAAGTATCTACTGGATTAAATAGAATCAAACAGTCAATGCTTTTAAATCACACAGAAAAATCCTAAGAATCAAACAGTCAATGCTTTTAAATCACACAGAAAAATCCTAAGGTATAGCAGTTGTAATCAGACTGGAAAATTCTACAATGGTCAGAGTGAGTCGTCATGTGATTCTTTATGCCATTAACTTTTGTATTGTGAGAAGGGAGAACCAGAACCAATGTATTGTGACACCAACAATTTTAGGATTATGGTTCAATCCATCAAGTCCTGTATTATATAAGTGGACACCATACGTGTGACCTTAATCAGCACAAAACCTCAACTGCCTGCTTTATCCCTTTTACAAGAAATGGTTGTGGACCACATGGATCATGTCACTTTTAGGAAGCTTCAAGGGAAAGACCCAAGAGTTGGTGGTACTCCCCTTATTCATCATATACATGTCAGAATGTGAGAACAAACTCGGGCATTAATATTATCAAACAGTTAACTGTAGAAACATTAATGACATGGCAATATTTCTCCCCACCCATTCAATTAACTTTTCAGAGCTTTTGGGACATGATAGAGACATTTTGGCTTTTGGAATATGAAAATTGGAAGCAAATTATCAAATTTTAAATAGAACAGCAAAAATGCTTACAAATTTGAGAAGTCAATGTAGATGGTCAAACTCTTCTTTTAGTAGTACATCCCTCTGAACCAACAATATCAAGTGATTTAGTAGTAGTACATCCTTCTGAACCAACAATATCAAGTGTTGTGGTCCTGTAGAGGAAGAAATAACAAAGACATGGGGGACCTTGAAAAAATATGTAATTAAGACAATTCTGAATCAACACAAGTCATGAGTAAACAAATATTTACTTTAAATGGTTATTATGATAATTTTGACATAAACAACTCCAATATGTATAATTAATAATCGAGCTTCAGGCAAAAAGAGAGAACCAGAACTCTTGGGCCATTGATATTAAAGATGATGCCGTTTGAGGTTTCAAGTCATATCTAATTTGGTGATGCCTTACTTCAACAAAGGTATTATAGATAATAGTCAATCATTGGCACAAAGGTTATTTCATCAACCATTTTATTTATTTGCATGATTTTACATGGTCAAGATAAACATAAAGCATCTAAAGTGGGGTTTCTATTAACCAGGCTCTCTAAGATGCATTTTAGTGTTCTTGTCATCTCTCTCTACAAGATCCTGCCCTAACCAAAGTGCTCTAAGCTGCTATATCCATCCCACGTTTATTAAATAGCCCAAAGAGATTTCATATGATTTGACCTCAGCAATTTAAAGCATTAAAGAATGGTAGCAACTGTAATTAATTCCAAAGAACATCTCCCTCATCACATGATGCTAACACTATGTTGTCTCAATACCATTCCATATCAACTGCTATAATACTTTACATAACCTGTGGTAGATTGGTGGAAAATTTAGACAAGTTTTAATATTTGTTCCATCTTCCTAAAGTTTGAGTTCAACATTTATATAGCAATTTAAAAACATTAAAGAATGGTGGCAACTGTAATTAATTCCAAAGAACATCTCCCTCATCATATATTCATATTAGGCTATTCTACAGATAGGATGGAGAAAATAACTTCGGTAAGCCATTCAGTCTCCATCCATAGCAGTCGTCTTTTCATATCAACTTCTATAATACTTTACATAACCAGCTGTAGATTGTGGAAAATTTAGACGAGATTCAATCTTTGTTCCATCTTTCTAAAGTTTGAGTCCTACATTTCTAATTTTACTGAAGAACTAGAAAAAGCCCGTCGATGGAAGCTAGACTATAGAAACTACCAAGAAGTTTACAAAATCTGGATGTCTATGATGAAAGATAATTTACTGCACACCAGAACATTAACATTTTAACTTACCGCAGCTAAGTTTTTTGGAATAGAATTTAGTGAATATGCATGGTATTTTCTAATTTGGTTCATTAACTAACAAACTGGAATGATGCTAGCTTGAATGAAAGAACAACTTTGGTTCCACTACAATGTTATCTTTTTGAGACTATTTTTTTTTCCTTATTTGTTGTTAAACAGTATGGAGATAAGTATTATATTCTCTATTTAAATGACCCTTTATATTTTTGTAAAGGGCATCAAGTACCTTCAACCACCATAGCAAAATGGTTAGCATTGACATGGCACATAAAGCCAAAGCATGGGATTAGAGGTTCAATTCTTAGCTCTTACTCTTGATCGGGGAAAAGAAAAATGTAATTTCTCATTAGCATGCTTATCTTAATAGCTAGTTATATAGAGAAATGAAACCAACCATTTCCAATATCAAATTTCATGATTTAATTTCTTCCTCAACCTAGAAACTTCAATCTCATTCATCCGTACATCCCACAAAGTCTTCTGGTAACTGAGGTACCAGGTGGGCAAACATCTTTGGTACCTTAAAATAAAATTCCTATACATCCAAGACTTTTGATGACTATTCAAATTTGAAACAAGTTAAAATATATGAAATATATATGTGAGTTGAAATTTTAAGTACTTATGCATGTGAATTCAAGACGCAGACAATGCGTTGATAACAAGGAAAACTGCTTAACCATGACCTGAAAGGTTAACTGTTAAAACCAAGTTTTGCGAAACTGACAATAAATAGGAAGATCAAAAGATAGTCCATCCTGGATCCTAGATTTCACATTCTAGTAGACGATGACATGGATGTGGTGGAAGATGAATTAGGATCCAAACCTAACAAGATCTACCATTTCATTTTGACGTTGCCATGTGTTTCAGAGTAGAAATGAGAGCATCTAACCAATACCAACCTAGATCTAAGAGAAGGTAAAAGCTAAACATGGCATCTAAGACCCTAAACTCTTCACACTTTCTTCTCACCAGTTCCGGCTTTAGAACTCATCACCCCTCAAAAGGACTGTCTTGAGTCAACCATAAAACATGTCACTCCATAGAGAGGGCAACAGCGAGCAGTCCACAAAACCAGCAATCCTGGTTTGAGGCTTTTAGTAGAAATTTATGAATTTCATAGCAACGTGATCGATATATGGAAAATTCTGAACAAACGTGAAGTCATCCATATTTCTGGCTCTCTTCTCCATCACATGCTAAATACCCTAACTTCCTGCAACAACATGCCTTTTAAAGAGTGGCATTTGAAGAGTACTGTCATGGTTTCGAGAGGTCCCGAGTTCAATTCTCGGAATGCCCCAACAACAAAACAATTTTATTCAGGAAAAAAAGAAGAGTACTGTCATGGTCAATGAGGTATTTCCTTCATGTGTAAGGCTGATTTCTTATTCTCATGGCCAGCCAGTATTCAGAAGTTCAAATGGGTGGTCAGGTTAATAATAGTGAATGAAGCAATTGGATGGCATATCAAAAAAATATTTTCTTCTTTTGCCCCTGTAAATAAAGAATTGAAGGACCTTTCGTTTCCCCTTTCTAGTGGAATTCAAAACTAGTTCTACAGAAAAAGAAAAGAAGAGAAAATTTTGCTTTCTAGTCATAACCATTAACTACAGTTAATGAAAGCAAAAATCTTGCTTTTCCCAATTCCAATTTTCATCATTGTTACTACCCATGTCACTGTCACCCCCGCAACCACAATTATTACCACAAACAATTAAGAACATCATCCACCACAAGCACCAGCACGGAAATCAAGCTTGATGGAACTTTCATCACCATGCCCTAACATATTTTAAAGATTGTCCATACTACTGCAAGTGCCTCCATCAATGTCAAAATTATTGCTAAATTATAGCACTACCAACTAACTGGCCAATCCTACATTGAACATGAATCAATGCCTTCTTTGTCCACCGCCATTGCCACTTTACACTCCATAGTCACTACAACCATACACCCCCACTGACATTGTTGTTGTCATCACTAACAGGATGGTGTGCCGCGTGTAAGCCTATAGAGGAGTAGGTCGATCACTTGTTGACTCATTCGGTTTTTATAGGGAGCTGTGGGGGTGCTATTCTCTCTTTTTAGTGTGCTTTGAGGCATGTCAGGCCCAGTTGTAGAGTAGATTAATTGTTTGGAGAGGAGATTCCAATGACAAAAGAGTCAGGCAAGCTTCAGATGCAGTATCTTATGCATCATGTGGCATACCTTGAAAAAAAGGAACATGCATAATTTTGAGCAGGAAGAGATGTGGTGATAGGCTGAAGAAATTGATGTCAAGCAATTTGAAGTTTTGAAATTCATGCAACTTCAAAGTCATTTATTCTCTTTTGTAGATTTTATAGGTAATTTTATAGATTCAACTTTAAATTTAATCTCATGGCTCTTCTATATCATTACTTGAGAGCTAACTGGAGAACTATATCCTTAGGCTTCCATGCTACGCCTCCATCTCTTAGGGACAAGCTAGATACATATAGCCACATTTAGTTTTCTAACTGATATTACTATGTTTTGGTTCCCTTCCCAGATTCTAGATTGGTGGAAATGGGAATATAGTGACTTTTTTCCCTTGTAATTTCCTGGGGTATGCCCCTTATATAGTGTATTCTTGTTTCCTTTTGTTGATATAATCTTACTTACCAAAAAAAAACTAGAGAACTATATCAAAAGGCCAAATTTGTTTGAGGAAAAGCACAGCATATTTGGGAAATGTAATACTACGTAGATAACTAACAGAGTAAATAAAGAGTAACAATAATAATAAGCCATAAACAGGGAGGTAAAATTTACCTGATAGGGTGAAGGTGGGTGAAAGACTAGACCACATTTACGATGGGATCAACTTATTCTTTTGAGAAACTATGTGGTACCTCAAAAAGATTAATACAATTATTTCATTATCCACTTATCCATATTAAGTTAGTCAAATCTTCTCCAAAATCCAAATCAAATGATATGACATCGTTGCTACAACTCATGAAATTCAATCTGTTTACAATGCATTGTCAAGAAAGTCGGCTTATTAAAATAGTTTTTCAGAGCCATCAGATTCACATACTAGCTCCGTTCAATGAGGGTAGACTAAGCAAGAAACCATGTTGAAACAGAAACTGTAGCACGGCTAAAATATTGGTGTTTTCTCAAATATGTAAATTTTTACTTATTTTGAGCTTGAGACCAAAACCCATTTTTCGATTAATATAGATTATATATATTTTGTTTGAGAATTCATTACTTTTGTCAACAAAAAAGAAATAGATGTTTGTACTAAGCTTATGGAAATTCAAGATAATTAATAACTCCAATGATCAGGATTAAAGATTCGGGTTAATGACAAAATCGCAATTTATGGAAGCATTTAGCTAGACAGTGGCCCATCTATAAGGTTATGAGAAGATTATGTTCAGTGGCAGCAACTAATGGAAAAAGATCTGTGGAGAACCTCTACTAGTTTGCAACAACTTGTATGAACTTATATGTTTGTGGCTAACTGTCTAAAGCTCCCCTCAGGATGAAGCCTATCCAGGTAACTAATAACATCCCCCACTATATAATACAAGTAGAAATATCGACATTCAAATGCAAACATACACTTGTGCCGATCAAATATATGCGCAGAAAAAATATTAACATGACAGATTCATGATAGAAAGAAATACAACTAGTAAACCAGGCAATATATAATATAAGAATCCAGAAAAAATAAATTAACAGAATAGAAATGTTATCACTGTCTTGGATTTCATAATTAAAAAGAGTAGAATAAAATTCATACCAAGGTTCTGATCAAACATCAACCTTCAGTGAACAGCTAATGGATATAAACTGCAATAAAAAAATATGTGGCACCAATCACTATGCCTGTATCCTCAAACCCAATGACATTTTTTTCCTCTAAGTAACGCATTGTTATTAAATATATCAGGATCAGAAAACGAAAGGTGGCTAAAGATAATAGTGATCACTTACGTAGCGTAATCACCCAAATTAGATAAATAAATAAAAGATTCGGGATAGTTTAGGGAGGGAAAGAGGTGAATCAACTTACTGAAATTGCAATTCTCAAACTCTTCTCTTATATACAAATATATTCATCCCTCCTTCCCTCTCTTTCAATACATTAATATAAAGTTATATATAATAGATCTGAAAATTTAAATACCTCACCACTTCTCTTCCATAAATTTCCTTTTCTTTTCTATTATTTGTTTTCCTCTTCTTTTATTTTTTTCTCCACAACTCCTCTCAACCAACCATTCTCTTCCCTTATTCTCTCTTTTTCTCCCTTTTTCTCCTCTCCTTCCTCCATTCCAAGTACCGCATTAACAAAACTAAAATTGTGATTTGTGAATTATCTGTTAATAAAAGTTGAAGAGTGCATCATAATTGCCAGCAATATTAACCAATATCCTAATAAAACCATAAACAACCAATTCAATGCATGAGCTTTAGGAAAAGAATCTTTCCAAAAAAGAAAATAGTTGAATGTTCGCTAGTTGTACATGTGAGGAATTATAAAGTCAACTCGATACATTCTGGTGAAAATAAGGAAAAGATACAGATCAAATAAAGAAGTTTTCAAATTTATGTTTTGAAAATTGAATGTTGAGTATACAAATATATATATATATATATATATATATATGTATTTATGTATGTATGTTGTGTATGGTATCGTAATAAAAGAATAAGACTGAATGAGTTTGAATTGAATAAAAAATCACAACTTAATGACAGATGAGGCCGAAGAATTATCAACCCACTTGCAAACATGTCAAGGCAATAGGACACCCCTTCGTAAAGGAGAAGGGACACTCATGCATTAAATAAGAAATAAAAGATAATGTCTAGTGTTTTGATAACATACACGTGTGGCCTTCTTTTGGTCCGACATGTGTTTCAATTTCAATTATTAGGGTGACACCAAGGTTTGAACACACAATATTTTCTGCTTTGACGCCATGTTAACAATTATCTAGTCTAAAAGATTAAGCTATTAGAGAGGTGTAACTTTAATATTTATATCCTTCAACACAATTCAAGAGGAACATTTTAAAAGTGGATGTCGAAGTTCTGGTAGGAAATCAGCATATTCCTTAAATATGTGGTTCAACAAGGTCCAATCATTTCAAAACAAAAGACCATTAATGTGTCTTGTAATTACAAATCGAGCTTTAATATGATCCTAAAGGAGATTGTATATGAAAATTCTATTTGTGTAACATTTTCTGAATCTCATCAAGAATGTAAAATTATAGAATTTAGGATGCTGATATCGAGAATTAACACTCTCCATCTTCTTTTGTTGGTGAAATTATATTAAGGGTAACAACACAAGTTTACAGTTCAAAGTGCAAATGAATTTAGCCAGCCAAAGGGAGCCAAGTATTGAATCATTTAAGCTCAGCATTGGTTGCATATGCAGATCAACCAATTACAAACTTCAAAATTGATCGAATGAGGGGAATGCAAAATTTTTTGAGGATAATCAAAGAAATTTGAATAAGAGTAAAAGAGAGAAACAAGAATGCATTAGAGAGATTATTAGAAAAGGGGAATTCTATGGTGGCTCCGCCTCTGATTTTTGCTACAACTGAAATTCTTTAATTTGTTTGGAAAACATTATCAATCGGATTCATGAATAACTCCGCCCAATAAGAGTGTAGAGCAAGCACGAAACCAATTGTCCAACTAAAGCAGTAGCTAAGATGCTGATGTTTTCCAAATGTAGGAATTTTTACAGATTATTCGTTTGAGGCCAAACTTATATTTTACACTACTATGGATTACAAAGGTTTTACATGAAAATCCCCATCTTTTGTCAACAAAACAAATAGATTATCGTATATTTCCCTGTGGAATTCAAGCAATGAAGCATTCCACAGGATTTGGATTCAGTTCAATGATAATAAACCTTATTTTGCAGAAGCATTTAGCTAGAGCAACTCATCTTTAGGGGTATGAGAAGGCTGTACTTCTCTGCAGCAGCTTTTGATAAATAAATAAAATCTGAAGCAAAGCTATACTTGTATGCAAGAACGTGGATTTTATCGCAACAGTAAATATAAATGTAAAATTATAGAAATACAATACACAAACATACACAAGTACATATATACACATATGCATATACATATATCCATCCATATATATGCATAATCACGACAGATCCACGACGGAGACCATTAGAACTAAATATCTAGGTAATATAAACTTATAGAGCATTGAACTCCAGATTGATAAATAAACAAATAAAATAGAACATAATAAGAGCATTAAAATCCAGAAATTGATAAATAAACAAATAAAATAAAACATAATAAGTGCATTAGAACTAAATATCTAGGTAGTATAAACTTACAGAGCATTAAAATCCAGAAATTGATAAATAAACAAATAAATTAAAACATAATAAGAGGAGTAAGAAATATATCATACCTAAAATTCTGATCAAACTCAATCTTAGGTGAACAGCTAGTGGATATGACCTGCAATAAGTATATAATGGCACCAATTATCAATTGCCAGATGCTTTATCCAAACTAAACAGAAAATTACTTAAAATGGTTCATAGACGTGAATCGACTTACTTAAAATTGCAATTCTGAAACTCCTCTCTCATCGAGAGAGAGAGAGAGAGAGAGAGAGAGAGAGAGAGAGGGGGTATGAATTCGTAGATCTACTGTAACATTTATAGTTATATATAGAGAGATGCAAATTGAGTGTGAATAAAAGTGAATACTGGACAAGCGGATTATAACCGAAGAAAGAGAGACAAAAGAATCTGTTGGGTGTTGACAGAGACAGAGATTAATAAGTTCACACTGTTTCGGTACAATGACACGAGAAAAGAAAAATAAATTAAAATCCATCTTACCTTCTCTTCTCAAATACTCTAAATAACTTTATTATTATTATTATTATTATTATTATTTCTTACTATTTTCCTCCCTTTTGTTTTCTGTTCTCTTCCTACTAAATATTCTACATCCCTCTACTTATCTCCACTATCTTCCCTTATTTTTCTCATCTTCCTGTGGACAGTTTTGGAATCATTTTAATTGGATTAAGGACTAATTTTCAAAAAAGTTTTAAAATCCAAGTCCATATATAAATAAATATTCTTTTATTATCTATATTTTTAATTTTTTTCTTTATTTTTAATGATGATTTTAAACTTTAACAATATTTTTGTTACTATGTTGTTTAAGTATTTATCAATACTATATATTTAAATTTGTTTAGTTTGAATTGTTTTTCTTACAAAATATGAATTTCTAAGGCCAGATTTGAGAAAATCTTTTTATTATTGGAATGAGATTGAGATAATAGTTCTCCGTCCCAAACCCAACTCGACTATAATGAGGTTGGGCTCGAGTTTGAGGGTGACCAAGTAATATTATGAATTTGTGAGTATTTTATTAATGCCAACTAAATTAACCTACAAATCCTAAACAAATCCATTAATAACCAATTTGATGAAAGAATTTCCATAATAAATCCCTGCAAAATAATAAAAGAGCTGAATCTTTGGTATATTAAAGTAAATCTGATAAGGAAATTGAAGAAAGTTATTAATTTTGATATTTTCATTTTTTTGTACATGCTTATTTTTATTCCTGTGTCAACTTCAACCTTTTAAAATACTGTGGTAGAACAGACCCCACTGAACTAACGTCTTAAAATTGGAGCAATCAAACCGAACTTGAGAGATTGTTATGAGCATGAAGAAAGTGGAAGGATGTGTTTCAAATTCATAGAGTGGCAATTGAATAGATAAATACATATTAATATTATTATGTATGGTAGTATTGTAATGAAGGCACCGAAGATTGAATGAGGTTGAATTTGGTCAAAAGCCACAACCTAAAATCAACACATTGACAAATGAAGCCAAAGTGGTACCAACCCACTTGCAAAGATGTCAATGTTATATAGGACCACTGAGGATTGTGTGGTTGGTGGGCCACCCAGAATTATCCAATATTCCATTTATTTATAAATAATACTTAGGACTTGGGTTTTCCACCCGCTGAGGATTTTACATTATCCTTATTATTAATGGAGCAATAATAAATTAATGCATTTTATTTTAATAATTCTGGCAGTGAAGGTGAATATCATCTGTTCGGTGACTGATCACTAATAAATGAATACATTCTTTTTTAATTATCAAATCAGATATGATAATTAATCCACTATGTCTAATTTGATAAGCTAATATATGCCCTACTATATTTGATTTAGTTATTAAAGAGGAGTTGTTCATATATTATTGGTTCATGATAATCAAATCACCATTTCTAATTTGGTATGTGAGAATCTACTCCCACCATCTTTGATGTCCATTTTTTATTAGTACACATCAACAATGAAATCGTGATTTGATTACCATCTAAAAAAATGTTCACTTTTAAAAGCTGTGATCATAGCACCCAAAAAGGGACATTCTTTTAAGACAGAAAGAGTATTTTTTTGTGAAAATTACACTAACCTCCCTTGAAATTTGGACAAATTTTACACAAGTAGAGCGTTTAAGATTTATTGCTTTGACCTCCCTTGAGTTTTGGGTGTATGTTCAACAATTCCCCTCTCCATCAAAACTTGTAAAAAAAAATTATAAAATGACCAAATTGCCCTTACACTCATTTTTTTTTTTTTTTTTTTTTACAAGATTTTTTTTAGGAGAAGGTAAGTTAGGTAACTCTGCAGGAGAGGAGAGAGAAAGTAATAAGAGAGATGAGATAGAATAATTAATTTTTTTACATTTTATAATATATTTTGTATTATAAAAATATATTACATATAAAGGTATAATTGACTTTTTATAGTCTTAAGAAAGTAGAGTAATCAATCTCAAATGCTCCACTCATGTGAGATTTCCCCAAATCTCAGTGTAATTCACCCCTTTTTTTTTTTTTTTTTTTTTTTTTTTTTTTTTTTTCTTTTTACGCAATTATACAAATCTTCATAAATCAGAATATTTGATTTATATTCCTTGAATAAGTGGTTATCTGTGCTTTAGTAATTTCAAAAAAATCATCAATTGTCTTATATTTGTATATCCAAATGTTAATTAAGGTTGTTAAATGCTACAGTAACACATAAGGGACCAATATTAAGATTGAAATATCTTCACTTTTCTTGATCTTGATTATGATACTATGAATGTGCCTCGTTTAATTTAGTTAAACTTTCGAAAAAAAAAAAAAACAGAAAAAAAATTTAAAATACAAATTTACGAATATTGTGTAATTGCCTTAAGCCAAGAAGCCAAATGAATCAAGCAAATTAGCAATTGAATAATTTTGAGCTAGCTTGGTTGAATCCGGAGATTAACATTGTTGAAAGTTGATTGATGTTGCTGGTTGACGGAGCTTAAACTCATTGATTATAAAATAACTCATTCATAGCCTAATAAGAAGTTAAAGTCTTTTAATCCTAATTTTTTTAGTTCTTAGAGCTTTGTTTGCTAACACTTTGAATTTTGGTTTGCTGTTGTGTTTTTCAATTTTTTTTTTTTTTTAAAGGGTAACAAAATTCACGCTAACTCTATTTTGACTTTTCACATTTAAAAACTTTTGAAAACTAGTTGTCATTTCGATTACAATTCCCACAACTTCAAAATGAAGTGTTGGTTTTTTTTTTTTTGGGTTTTCAAATGGTTGGTTTTTTTTTTTTTGGGTTTTCAAATACAATTATTTTATTATTTTTCAAAATGAGAATTAAAAAAATGAAAATTAGAGAAATGTTATTTTATTACTTTTCACAATTTTAAAAATGTTATTTTATTATTTTTCAATTACACTTGAATATTAAATAAAATTATTATTTTTTTAATTATACTTGAATAGTAAAATTAAAAATGTTATTTTATTATTTTTCAATTATACTCGAATATTAAATAAAATATTATTTTATTATTTTTCAAAATGAGAATTAGAGAAATGTTATTTTATTATTTTTCACAATTAGAGAAATTTTATTTATTATTTTATTATTTTTCAATTATACTTTAATATTAAATAAGATTAAAATTTTTATTTTATTATACTCTAATAGTAAAATTAAAATTGTTCTTTTATTATTTTTCGTAATTAAAATTGTTATTTTATTATTTTTCAATTATACTTAAATAATAAATAAAATTAAAAATATATTTTAAAAACTCTAATAATAAAATTAAAAATATTATTGTATTATTTTTCAATTATATTTAAATAGTAAATAAAAGTGTCAAATTTTTTAAAAAAAAATTAGCAAACTTATTTCCTCTTTATTCTAATTCAACATCAGTTTTCTCCAAATGTACTCACCAAACATGTTTTGATTTTGACAAAAATGGCAACACAACTTTTCAAAACTTGTCATTTTCACTAAAATGAAACACACGCACACCAAAAAAAAAAAAAAACAAACAATTTTACCAAACAGGCCTTTAGATACGAAAGCTTGTACAACTCTTTGCTTGCACTATTTAATGGCTTGAATTTTCGGAGGAAAAGGGCTCAATGCCCTTTCAACCAAAAACTACCACAAAACCCTTCTCCAATGTGGCGAATACTTCTAGTTTGATTAAAATTGTGATACAACCCTATAATATTTCACATGAGAAGTATATAAAATATACAGATTTAATAGAAACAAAACCACCACCCAACATATGATACAACAAAACCAAATCAACCAAAGAAAACAGAATTAGTCAATTGAACAACATTTTATCAACACAAGACAAACTTGAAATTGCAGGAGTACAAACATATACACACCACACTAAGCGAGTAAAGCATCATTCACTTGGGCGGGTGCTTCCTTTTGGTGTTCAGCAATGCAAGAATTAGCAGTACTGTTTTCATCTGCCAATCTACCTCCACAGCCCGCACCACAACCACCGCAACCACTGCCACAGCCACTATTCTTCATATTTCCACACCCACCACCACAACCACTGCCACAACCACTACCACACCCACCACAACCACCACTTTCCAACGTATTTCCAGATGCAACACCACAACCACCACAACCACTACCACACCCACCACAACCACCGGCACTTGCTGCATTTCCACAACCACTGCCGCACCCTCCACCACAGCCTCCACTGCAGGCGCTGCCTTTTTCTGATATCAACGCATTTCCGTTAACCAATTCCATGTTCACCACCACTTCCTTCTCTACGGCAATAGTCAAATTGGTATTTTTCCCCCCTTCTTGAATCAAATGATCACTTCTTTTAAAATTCTCTCCATTAACAGTGAGGCCTTTGTATCCCTCCTTCCTCAAAATATCTGAAAGAATAAAAGCCAATGTGATCCCAGGCAACACCAGCCATTCTTCAGTTACCTATTCATTAAGAAAGGGAGAAAAAATCAAACACAGAAGATTAGGTGAATAAGCTTAAGTGATAACTTTTTAACAAACTAGAAATTACCTTGAAAACTCCAGACTTTAAGTTGAGCAATGCCACTGCTTTGCCATAAGGGTTTTCCACCGAGAATTCAACTACCGTCAAGAAGTCACGTTCATTTGTCCGCTTCTCACAGTGCTTGGGTTCGTATTCCAGTTTTCTACCATGGAATAACTTCACCTGAAACAAGAAATGAAGTTATGAATGCCCAAACAGCCAACAAAAGCTAAACCTTAAACATGGATCTGTATGATAGAATTGCTCCTTGCTTTCTATATAAGCTATTCCAAGAGAGAGCTTCAAAGTTGATTTTTTTCATCTGTTACAACTTACAAAGATGGTTCACATTAAAATTTTGATCATTGACAACATCAACCCAGGCAATTGACCACACTGAACCTTTTATCTACAAACTTAAAAGGACATATTGGAAGAACACCACTGAGATGAAGAAATAACCATCAAAGTATTCATGGGTCGTTGACAAGCAAAAGGTTAAGCATGCAGCGAGGTATCACCATGACATTAATATGTGTTATTTCAGACCGCCAAAGGTTACTATTCTAGTGCTCTATCATAACCGTTATCACCATGTCTCACAAGTGAATGAGCGACTACTTCCTCTTCATTCTTTATATTCTCAGTTTCTTTTATGTGTCTGCTAATTGGCTTCATCATTGGAAATTAGCAATGCTGGAGATGGTAACTACAAAGACCGTCAAGCCTGTGAGAATGCTTTTGCAGCCCTTCTCCTTGAGTCAAGTAAATAAACTACAGCCACAAAGAGATGAGTAGAACAAACACAACGCATCTTTATGCAAGCTGTGGTGACACTCAGAGAAGTTTTATTCTGGCTCAATGAAGTAACCCAAGGGGCCTTCAACTAACCTTATCCCCCTCCAATACCAGATATGATCAAGATCGTAAAGCATGCAAAGATATAATTAAGACTGGTGAAATGGTGTAATGTGGTATCACCGCCAATCACATAACACCATTTAGAAAAATGGTAGGCCAAAATGCGAGTGAAATGTAGGAAGACTGACAACAGTGCATAATGGTTTGTAATGTGATTGGACTGGGGGTGGGACACCATGTCTCAATGATGATGTAGTATCTCCGGATACCCAATAATTTCTCTTACAAAAGTTTTAACTGGGTCCACTATAGAGCCACCAAGTTGGTAGAAATTAAACTTAAGGCTTTAAAGAAACCCATAACAGGTCACACCATATGCATCCAACAAGAAAAGTGTATCTTTTAGCTAAAGGAAAGAATGATGAAATGTGCCAGGCCTGCAAAGTGTCAGGGACATGCATGATCTAATGGATGGTCTAGGTTGGTGACCCTGCAAACTGTCTGCAAACTCAATGAAAGAAAAATATCTCACAACACCACAATAGTTCCAGTGAGCGAAAAAAAATGAAGACAGAGAGGAAGCTTCTTTACCTTGGATTAGTTTATAGAAATAATCATTTGTTTTATCTTATAGGGGGAGTGTAATAAAATTTATTACAAACAATAAACGGTGAATGATTGTTACGAAGAATCTATCAGACAGAGAAAGATGCTTACCATCCGAGGGCCCATCAGCTCAAAAAGGTGGCCATCTTTATTGAAGTTTTCCTGAAGCTGAAGTGACCATTGAGAATCTATCAAAGACCACTCTGTTCCTACAAATTCAGCGAGAGTGCATGTTTCACCAGATTTTGTGATACCAATCACCTCTTTCCTTGAAATACTGTTGTTTTCCTCCTTTGCCTTTTTAAAATCTCTGCAATGCATAAAAGGCCAGCAACCAGAACAATTAAGGACACCATCATAGCTTCTAAACTAACATTGGGTATTTCATGCTGTCAAGAAGATGGATGACAGGGATTTATTGTTCTAGAAAGTTCATTGAATCATGAGTTTAACATGTATGAATGCAAATGCAAGATCAATTAAAAAACATAAATTACCTCAGCTCAAAAAAGATATACTTTTGAAGTGAATTTTTCATTCATCACTGTAGGGTACAGAGTATAATTATACAAAACTATTAGTTAGTAAACAATCTAATTTTGAATATAATATATATAAATCCGGCTCTGGGTTCTCTTCCTGAAACTGTAAGTTCATAAAGTTACCACTAAAGGTCAATTCAGTAAAACAGAAGTAGAATCAGTAAAAACAAGGTTTCTTTTGAGGCAAAAATCTAATAGTCTAGCAATTGCAGGCTGTAGATGCATGCATCAGCTAGAAATATGATCCACGTAGGAACTCCAACATCCCTAATTTATTACATTTGATCATAATGGTTCAAAAATATTTAATAAGATTAACACTTTGGAATTGTAGTCAGTCAATTTCCAACGTGTAGATATCTTAATCGAGACAAGATTTTTAGTAAGTTTCACCTTGACAATGCATCCATGTAAAAGTCCTAGAGGGCACTGTTTAACTCATTCGTAGTAGGAAACGCAGAAGTAAAAGTACCTCAATTGGAGGCTGATGACCTCATTGCCAGCTTCATCAATAACACGTGTCCAACTCTTAGTGGTTTGAACTCTTTTAGGAAGTGGAAAAAAACAAGAATTTTTTAGGAAAGGCCGAGAACGGACCATATAAAGCACATTTGCTGCTGGAGATGGAATAGTAATTGAGATTGCAACTCGTAGATATATTGGCTTAGAGCTCACAGTGCCAGAGCTAGGCACTAACTCTAACCATTTTTCCACAGAGAGATTAGGGACTGGGGCCAGCATATCCTCCAGAGAAAGACGAGTGGAACCTATAGTTTTGGCTGGCCTTAATATTGGTAAATTGGAAGGTGAGAGGGAGAGAACTTCAAAAAGAAGATGTCCAGTAGGCTGACATTGGAAAGAAGCAACCCGTTTCTCTCCAGACTCGGAAAAAATACTGAGTTTCCTTCGGGCATTGAAGAATGTATCAGGCTGTGTCTTACTAAATGAGACAAAGAGGCTACCCTTGTGTCCCTCTGGTAAGTTTCGGATTCCCACAATTTCCAACATCACCTGAGAAAAAGTATTTAAAGATGTTATAAAAAGTTAAACAGAAAGTAAATGATATTTACCTGCCTACAAACATCCCCGTTCAACATTTTTAACAAAAGAATACATTGAATTATAAGAACAAAAGCCACTGTAACTTCCATTCCAATGATCATAGAAACAAATATATATATTCTAAATGGACTCAACAAAACACTTGGTCTCAAAAGCGTCTCCAAGATTAATGATAATGCTGCTACTTTGATAATCAGAAGAGAAAAAGGAAAGGAAAAAGATAGTGGCTTGTCTTCTCTGATCTCTAATGTAAGCACCGGTCAAGAAAGTTCATGCGACTGTTAAAACTCCTCCATGTCAGCACTAGAAGATCAAACAAATACACCAAGTGCACCGACTCGATTAAAAATATGAGCAACTTGATCCCAATTGAACTGTTCCCGAATGGATGGGGAAAAAAAAGAGTCTGCAAATAAAATTGTAAAATTTTGATCCAGTCAAGCTAATCTTCTATAAGATTAAGCATTCTACTTTCCAAACGATATGGTCCTAATCTCCTATAGATGCAGACATGAAGGGTTTCAATCGACAGTTGACGACACCTGACTAAAGCTCACTGAAGATAAGCTCAACCTGAAAAGTGCCGCAAAGAGTTTTCACGGAAATGATTATCAACTAGCCATTTATAATTTGTCATTGTATGAATGCAAGATATAGTATGATGGTCCTGTAAAAGAATACTTGTCAGATAAATGACACGAATGTAATTAACCCCAAGTAATTCCAATAAATATCCAATCTGTTGAATGTGAAGTCATGATATTATTGTCACACAGTTCAATAATACGATACAGCTGCATGCTAAATATTAGCTCCAACCCCATACATCAGTTCCTATCTTACCTCGTTCATAGGGTACATGCCTAAGAAGTTCAACCACCCCCAGGCACGGACCTGGTTAAGGACCAATGGGGGTGGATGCCCCCGCTCGATTTTTTCCTATTTGCATTATTATTATTATTTTTTTGATAAGTATCCTATTTGCATTATTTGCTATAATTTTTGTTAAAATTTTGAAAACGCCTCCTCTCAATTTGTAAAATTTTTAAAAATACCCCCTCTTAATTGATAAAAATACCACACTTCACATTCTTGCCCCCACTCATTTTTTTTAAAAATACCCACTATATATATGTTCTTGCGTTTTAGATCCAAAAGAAAGTAAAGTAAATCCACTTTCTTGTTTCTTTCCATCCCACATCCATGATAATCTAGAAAGCACGGACACAGTTAAAATATCACAGAATCTGAATTAGACAAGCCACACAAAAAATTAAAATTTTATATTTATTATTTCATTTAAAAAAAATTATCTTCATTTTTTCTAATTCTTCAACAGTGCCCCCTCTCAAAAAAATTCCTGGGTCCATCACTGACCACCCCCTACCATTTTTCTCTCAAGATAAATAATAACAGTAATAATGAAAACTAAACAAGAAAAGTATTGCAATTATCAGAATAGGAGCAAAACATCATTTGAAGAAGGATAATGAAAACTAAATAAGAAAAGCAATGCAATTATCAGATAATAGGAGAAAAACATCATTTGAAGAAGGATACAATGGGTGCTCATAATTTACCTCCACAACCTTCACCACAGAAACATGTATTGCTTTTTGGTACTTGTTGGACGCAACTACCATCTTGGTATCAATGTTAGGGGTGCAAGGAGTGGTTGCAACAGGAGACGGGGCACTGCCTCTGTGCATTGCCCCTGCCCTCCAATATCTTGAACCAAATGTCTCCTCCCATTGCTTGGTAGTTTCAGAAAATCCACAATCAAGCTTCTTTCCTTTCGTTCTGTCCGAGTCAGTGTCATCATGCTCTAATACCTTGCCAAGTAAATCTACCAGGTCTTTACGGTAAGAAACAGGATGCAACTGGTGAGAGTGCCATATAAGGTCAATGTCATAAGTTGGAACACAGAAACGTTTTATGGATCTCTCCCTGTTTCTATTGATTAGATGCAAAAACCCTTTATATCTGGCCACAGCTGCTTCAAGAAAGTGATCATTGTTTATATGGGGTCTGGATACCTGACAAGCATACATATAGACGTAGAGAATCAAAATAAATATATTCTGGAAAATGCAATAATGTTTGTAGTCAATTTCCAAAAATTAAGGAGATAATATAATTATGTAGATTGAATGGCTATTTGGCAAGATAATGGTTCTATAGAATTTAGGGTTCTCGGATACCGAGTAAGCTTATGTAATAAAACAAAGCTAATGACTTCAAATTTCTATAATAACCGTTTCTGATGCAACGGAAGCAAACAACAAGAACACTAAAGGGTAAATGCAATCAAAATAATAGTTATACAATAGCCTGGAATGTTTCCAGTAATAACAGGCTTCCATTAGTTGTCGGTCTTCTAGTCCATAGAATCGAGTCATTGTCATATCAAGAACGCAGATATTATTTGTGGGTTTTGTTATGTTAGAATAGCATCAAACCACAATCAACATCTATTAATTTTTGTAAGACCAATTATCCAGGTAGGGTAAATTTAATGTTTCATTATCAAAAGATCATCAAATCATTTTTCTCATCAACACTGTGCAAGATTTCAATACTGTACTTTATGAGAAAATGTTGGCTACACGACAAATTTTTTTTTTTTCGGTCTATGGAGTTCAAAACTCTTTACTTTAAAGTCTTTAATTAGAGCGTGTCTTGAATTGACTTTAACCACTGAAAAAATGTCAATGTTTCCAGCATCACGAGTACAAATGAGCATAAAAACAAAAATAAGTAATTGTGCAAGACAGCAGCAGCACAGGGTCAAAAGAATTATGTTGTTTACACAAAAAAACTAAGAAAAGAAGTTCCTGATCTTTTGTATTGCTAAATAAGAGAGACTGCCATCTCTGTTACCTGGTAAAAGAATGGAATCTGTCTTTTAACAGCTGAAACCAGATCGTACTTGGTGTACTTTTCAGCTGCAGGAACTTTTTCAGAGATATCATCTCTGAGATCTTTAGTCAAGTTGAAGTTGTAGGGCTCATTTGGATACAGTTTGTTCCAAATTTCTTCTGTTTCCAATCTTGAAGTCCCGTGAACAGATGATACAACATTTTGATTGTCAAGAACCCTTCCATAAAATTCCTCACAGTCGGATTTGTACCTAACCTGAAAAATATGGAAGGAAGAGAACACGTATTATCAATCCTACAACAAGTGGTGATAAAATATGAGAGAGAGAAAGAAAGAGAGAGGATACTAAATATCAGTAAAGAACCCTACTGGATTGAGTCTGTGACAATGCCAGACCCATTCGCAATCAAGAGGAACAACCAAAGGTCCTTTTGCGATCTGAGACTCGGAATGCTTTGCAAGCAAGGGAAGCCAACAAATGTTGTACCTGAAACAGAGATAGTTGAAATTTAAATTCGAGTCAAACAGACACCAAACTTTGATTTGGGAGGCATATCAATGGGAATTCATAGAATCTATTACCTCACAAGTCAAGCTTATATACCAAAGCTGTAATGAATACCGTCTACAAGCTTCACAAAAGCCAGAATAAAAATATATGTGTATATACACACACATAGAGACTTCTTCATTCTCTTTACCTTTTTGGTAGCAATTAAGGGATCTCAAGTATGCATGCCATCGATGAGAGTTCTATTTTTTATATCACAAAACTATATGACTTATTATCATAAACAGATGGCTAGCCAAAGATGATGACAGAAATTACTGATTGGAAACATCTCCATCAAATATTAAAAAGAAAATGAAAAATTAAAAATTAAAAAATCATCTCCACTGCAGAATAATTATTTAGACACCAATCAGTGGTCTCACATATTCTTCTCAATGTGACAAGAATCCATCATCTATCCCATACAAGATCCTCAGAAACTTGCATATTGAAAAATTTCTCATGCCATGTTTGGGATCACCAAATACGCGTCTTGGAATTGGAATTGGAATTGGAGGAAAAAGTGAAACCACATAACCACAAGCTACCCACACAGAGAAACGTGCAGATAGCAAACCCCCTCCCGTGTTGATACAAAGCACGAACCACAAACAAAATATGAACAATTCAAGTAACAGAATTCGAACAGCTACAATAAATTGATTTTACCTATAGATGGCTCTTTGTAGAGCGGGGTCTTCGTAGAGCCAACGGTTCCTATCCACGGCTGCAAGAAATTCTAGCTGCCGTTTGGCCACAGAGACAAGGTCTTCACTTACAGCGATCTTCTGCGCCTCGGCCCATTCTAACTCCTGTTCTATCTCCATCCTCAATTATCAACAATAAAAAATAAATAAAAAATCGCAAGGCAAACATAAATGAATCAGTCAATGCATCAGCTAGATTGAATTGAAACAAATTCAGTAATCAATCGATTGTTAGAAAATAATTTGTTTTAAATTGAAAAAAATATAGTATAATTTATTTACTGATTTGTCAATATATCACTAAATGAAAATAAAAGGGATAACACAATCAGAACGAAAAAAAAAAAAGGAACATCACAAATTTACAATGAACATGCAGAGCGTAACCATAGAAGTTCCTTGTACTGAAAACTATACCCAATCAAACCTCGAAATTGAGGTATTATAAATGAAAAGAAGACTCAATAATTATGATAAAAATGGATTAATACTCCTAAGTAAATTAAGGAGTCAAAAAATTCATAATATAAATGAAAAACAACAATTTACAAATTTCTCAACCTTAATTGTCAAGAACTGAAATTACGAACAACAATTTAGGGGAACACTTGGAATTCATGTAAATCATAAGATCAAGAACGTAATGATTGAATGATAGTACATACTGACATGTATTAAAATTACCAGAGAAGAGTGATCTATGCAGATACGCCGGGAGAGACGGAGGAAATTGTTCAGGCGACGTTTACGTGCACTTGTTCGATCAACAGCGAGTCGTCAACGTTCTATAATTTCCTAGTTTTTGAAAATTCTTTGCGTTGTAAACTACAGAATTGAGTGTGGCTTTGGTTAAACGGTATTTATATAATCCGACTGAGCCTAATACGAGTACGATATTTGTATTATTGGAAGTACAACTTTTCTTGGTGACGAAACCACCCCTCACTACTCCGAAAGTGCCAAGAAGAACAGTATCCACATTCCTTCAATTTTACTATTGTACAAGTTGTATATATATATATATATATATTAATTTATTAAGAAAAATAGGTGAATAGTGAATACATTTGATCCCTTTTTATAATTTTCTTTTTTTATTTTTACTTTTATACCGACGAAGAGGAGAGAAATATTAATTGGTTGGACATATTAATGATAAGATATTCTTTTCAATATTGACAATCACTCTAAATTATGAGTAACAATTAAGTTGATATTATACATAAATTTAATATTTTTTAAAAAAAAATTAGTTGAATACAATTTTAAAAAAGATAATTTGGTTATTAAAAGCTCATTAAAACACATAATTTAATAAATGAATAAATTTTTTTGAGTAGTGATACTCATACAGAATTTTCTAATCAAATAATTTTTAATTAATTATTTATAAAATCTTACTTCCTTATTTATTAAATAATTGACCAATTAAAAAGTATAAGTGTAACAATTTCTTGTAATTATTCGTATAAGAATCATTTCCTACATCTTGATTTGTAGAAAAACTGTGGCCCACTTCTATTCGGATAGATCCATTTTGGCCTACAAGAAGGAGAAATGGGTCCCACTGCGTAATGGGAAACATTCTTGATCATTGAATTTTACAAAGAATTTATGAACCTCTCACAGGAAAAAAATTATTGCCCCTCAAGCAGTTAAATATTAGAATTAAGTTGAAATATGAGAATATATTTTATTTATTGATTGATTAAAGTTAAAGCAATTTATTCACGAACCCTCCTCCTCCGTTTAAGTCAATTATACCTAATGGACATTCAAAAACTAAAATTTAGTAGTAGTTGAAACGTGTGTTGTGTTGTGGTGGTGTTGAAAAAAGGGTGGGTTGAGTTCAATTCTTGTCGCGACTTTAATTATATAACATATTAATTATATAACATATTAATTATATAACATATGCTTAAAAAAGCAGAGATGACCCGCTACAATACAATAATTCAATGTCATTATCGCTATTTTATTTTCATCACATATGCTAAAAAAATGTTGATGGCCCACTTCAATTCAATGTCTTAAAGATTCCTATGATCAGTGATCATATATAAATTAAATTTCATTTTTATCACTAGTTAATAAGGTAGCTAGCTCCCCTCTCTTGAAGGGACTCACCCAACAACTGAAATCTTTTTTTTTTTTTTTTTCACGAAATAGTGCAACCTAATCAACCAAAATATATCAAATTCTTTTTCTTTTTTTTTTTTTCTTTTTTTTTTGGGAGTTTGTCCCATTTTGGCACAAGCTAGCCAAGTATGGCAGCCTGGCAGGTAGATAGTCCATTGCAGTCCACCACATTGTTTTGCGTTTACTTTGATGTACCAAAATAAATCAGACTCAAGTGGTAGTACCAAACAATTTGTAGTACTAAAGATGTGCAGTACAATAGGAAATTGATTTTTTTTTTTTTTTTTTTTTTTCGGTTAAGCTTTAATTTCATTTCATAATAATGTGAAAGTTTTGAAGACGAGCCAATTGATCATCACTTCGAAATTGATTTTTTTTTTTTTTTTTTTTTTCGGTTAAGCTTTAATTTCATTTCATAATAATGTGAAAGTTTTGAAGACGAGCCAATTGATCATCACTTCGAAGTGGCCATCATAAATGTTTGATCAACTGAATAACAATAAAATAAAGACTTCATTTGATTAGATGGAATCAATTAGAAAAGAAAAAAGAGAGAAGAATTTTAATATTTTTTTTAACGTTTGGATAGATAGGAAAAGAATCCTAATAGAAAATACTAGTTTCAAAAACTGCTTCTTTTTAATTTCATTTCATAATAATGTGTCATCATGGAGGAGGTAAAAGTTTTGAAGACGAGCCAATTGATCATCACTTTGAAGTGGCCATAATAAATGTATGACCAACCGAATAATGATAAAATCGATCACCATTTTTTTTAATGTTGTGTTGTGTAAGATATAACCACATTGCATTTTACGATGCAAAATTGCTCTCCAGAACAATTTGGTTAGTGTTTTGTCTAAGTATTACTATTCACACATTTATATATATAGAGATGTAAATAAATATATACCGTCATGATATATACATGAAATAATGTTCATTTGATCAATTTACGATGTTGAAGGATAAACACTCACAATTCAGTGCTTTGATTTTATGATAGACTTACTGATTTTAATCGCTTACTTCACAGGCTCTCCTGCTTAGTTTTGCGATGAACCCTTTTTTATTTTATTTTATTTTATTTCATTTAAACAAAAAAGTAAAATTAAATTAAGAAAGAAAAGACTTTACGCTTAGAATATGCCAACCAACCTTCGTTCAAGACAATGATGCATGCCTTTGCAATATAAGGATACCCAACTTAAGTCCTACACAAAATATGCATCAACTAATTATTTTTTACTCATATAATGTGACCAACATATGAATGTGAGTGTGTATATATTGTATTTAGTATTAAGAAGAAAAATAATAATAAGGCACATAGCGTTAGCCTATTAGCATGATATGGAATTTTATATGCATATGAAATGAATAAAAAATATAATTCTTAATAGATTGGGAAAAAAGTTACACAATTTTGTTTGGTCTATTAACATATAATGAATAGTTTGTGAGCATGAGTTCAGTTTTTAGACGCTTCTGATTGGATGGAACTTCAAATAATATGTTAGCTAGTTTACAGATTGACCTATTTGCCTATGTCAATCATATATATATATATATATATATATATAGAATATAATATGATCATATATGCCAATGAATTTATGTGATCACCCTTATCATGCCAATATAGACTAGCTATCTATCACCAAAATAGCAAAATTAATTTAAGACTCTTTATCTATTCAGAAACCAACTACCCAGATAATTAATCAAATATAAGTAATTAGTATCATTAGTAATTTATCTGCTCAGCTTTGGAAGTATCATTATTTTGTGACAAACCTGTAAAGTGGTACTTAATTAACTAAGCTTTAATCAGTACCTATCTCTCTCTCTCTCTCTCTCTCTCTCACACACACACACACACACACACAAGAAACGGTTGATGACAAAGCTATGGAGTAAGGATCGAGTAGATTGACCGAGTAGGGCACCAAATGGCATGAATATCCCCATCTTTCCGATCTGTAATACACACTCATCATCCAAGTTGCCACCTTAGCCATAGTTGTTCCAACTCACCCTAATTGTCTTTACTAGTATATAAAAATATTGACCGTTACCTTCCGAACAAAAAAAATTAATATTGACCGTTGAATATACGGTGATTGGTCTGTGATTGTGATTCACAGGTTATATATATACTTTGCCTACAGTGAAGTACTGTGCAAGTCCAAGACTACTACTTTCAAGCCAAGAATCACTCACTACCAACACTTCAATTAGGGTTTTCAATCAAAAAGTTTGATGTGCATATGATGTGTATAATCTATTTTTTGAGGATTTGGTAGTGTGTGTAGGTATTTATCTAACAAAAAAAAAACACATTTGACTAGGCATGATATATTCCTTATCATATATATAATAAACATTTTGTATTATACAAATTATATATTACACACATATATGTATGTATGTATTTACGTATGTATGCTTGCTTATACAAACAAGTATATAAGTCTAATACATTGTGCGCGCGCACGCGCGTGCGAGGGTTGTGCATGTGCATACTATGCTCCTGTATAAAAATGTGTATATATTTATTGTATAGACATATGAGGTACGAGTCTAACTCAGAAAATGAGTAACGCAAAAAATTCTGTTTTTCATTTTCTAGTTCTGTAATTAAGCTACTTTAATTTCCTTTAAAAGCTGTATAAAACATTATACAGTCAACTAAACACATGAAAATGTTAAAAATATTTTCGTCAAAACAAATAGAGAATTAAAGAAATTGAACCATTTTGAGTTGAATATTTTTTTATCTAGATGGTATAGATAGGTACTCAAAAATATATATCGAATAATCGAGTGACAAACACAGAGTTATGCTCGATTTTATACGTGTCAATACTTGATTGGCAGATGATTGATCCCAATCTATGGACGCTTTGTATTAGAAGCCAAATCCCAATTGCCAAAATGGGATTAGCAGATGAACACAATCAATGGGCGTTTATTAGAAGCTAAACCCCATTTACATGATGTTGCATTCAAGGTAACAGACAAGAAGAGAGACGAAGACCTGTCCCATTTTTTAAACAAAATTAGTTAAAAAATTAAGAATTAAACCACCACCACCACCACCAAAACAAACCAATCATACTGATCATAGGTCAATTATTTAGCATAAAAATGATAATCAAATACAGATTATTTTAATTCAATCTCTCCCCCTCTCTCTCTAATCTTCCTCCCAATGCTTCTGCAATACCCACATTTCAAGTCAAACACTACAACCTACCTCTTTCCTCATCAAAACTTCTCCTTTTGATGCTCTTTTGTGGCTAAGGCATCTTTGAATTTTTTGCTCCAACTTATTGAAGACAGTTAAAAGTTAGAAATATTGGATCAATATTAAGAGGTTTTTGTTTTTTTGATCTGAATTACTGTAAAACGAAGAATCTGTAATCTTGGTGATCAATACCGGGAATCAGAAGCAACAAGAGATCAAGTTCATGGAGTTCTTCAAAGGAGCTGGTTTTGTAGTAGGTGGAAGTTGATTAGCTAGTTAAGCCTGATTATGAATTTGATAATTCAATGGGGCAACTCCGGTTTATGGTAAGACGATGATGGAGAGATCGGATAGTGGGAATTCAAAACTGCTCTGCTGTTTCATCAGTTACCTCTTCGTATTTATTCAATCAACTTGTGCACAAGAAGGTACGGATTTTTAGAGTTTCGAACTTTCGGTTAAATCATCATTAGGAATGACTTGGGACCATATTATTTTGATGAAGTTGTTTTCCTTGTTACCTTTGTAGAAGCCTAAATCATGTTAGTTCAGTTGCAAATGTTTCATCTGATATTAATTTCATGAAAATTTACATTTTAAACCTTAAAGTCAAGGTTTGATAATTTGTAGGATAAGAAAGAAGGGTCACTTATGGTTATAGACTTTATATATGACATCTAGGTGAGTGAACTTTATTGCGCACATAGTGATATACAAACTGTTGGTAGTTTTATCATGATCTAATCAACAATCAAAACTGTTAAATAGGTCAATCCACATACTAAACAAAGCCTGATCAACAGTTTAAATAATCATACTGAGAAGTAAGCTAATGATTAGCAAGATCCATGCAATGACTATGATGATTAAAAAAAAAAAGATTGACAATTTTTCATGAGAATTTTAGATAATCATAGACCCTAAATTAGTTACATATTTTAGTTGTCTCGCACAGTCCAACTACTACAGATTAGCGAGATTTATAATGATTAATGACGGGAACATTTTTGCTACAAGGCAAACTACATTAGAAAAACAAATAAATAGTCCTGTAGCATTTGAATGATTACATACCCATCATGTACAGATCAGATCATATAGGGTTGAAAGAGATGCTAAAATATGCTATCTAAGATCGTTTAATGTGGAACCCTAAATGATCTTTCTATTAATTTCTTTGATGTAATTTCATGCAGGATTCGTGAGTGTAAGGTGTTGTGCTGATTCAACTTTCACGGATCAAAATGGTATAAGTTGGGTAACAGATGAAAATTGGTTCCCGGATAATTCAAGTTGCAAAGACATAACTAGGCCTGTGCAAAATGATACAAGATATAATAAAGCTCGAGTTTTTAGTAACCTCTTGGGTAAAAAATGGTGTTATAACTTAAAAACAACAAAGGATCAAGACTATCTGATAAGGGGTACATTCCTTTCCGGTGAACAGCAAGCAACTGTTTTGGGTTCCTTTGGTGTTTCGGTTGATGCCACATGGATAAGCCTAGTGAACTCTTCGGATGATACAGAGGTGGAGGGAATTTTTAAAGCTACCAATGAATATACAAACTTCTGCTTATTGAAGGTGAAGGTAGATCCTTACATTTCAAAGCTTGAGCTGAGGCATTTGAATGATTCAGAATATTTGATAAAGGAGCCATCCAGTGTGCTGAAACTTGTACATCGAGTTGATGTTGGGAGCTCAGGAGCAGAGATCAGGTACTCTTTCCCTACTTCATTTGAAGGCAAGAAAGAAACATAAAAACATATATATGAGCTAAAATATTGTTAAGTTAAGGAATGTTTTAACTTCTATATTGTCAAAGATAAAGGCAAAATTGATCATGATAACAACAATAATACTTTTCAAAAAAAGTAACAAAGAATAAGTGAGAGAGAGATACCTACATCTATTTCAATTTTTGAAGCTACTGGTTATTTATTTTACATATATTAGTTGGCTTCCTGGCATGAGTTTTTATGTAAACATCTTTAAAGGAGAACACGATCCTCTCATTGTATGTCATATCTTACCACAATTTCACAAGTTATGACCTCCCTTCAGTTTGGTTATCCTATATAGTATCCTCAATTTTGTACCACGTCAATACATTTTCATTGTTCTCTAACCACCCAAAAATTTGATTGTCTCTCATTGATCAAAACTTCCCCATCTCTAAATACTTAGATAAAAATAAGTGGAACCAAATAAACGGATGATCTAAGTACCTCTACCATGCTAAAAATCCCAAACTTAGGGCAGATGAGAGACTCTAGAGGAGCCAGTGGCACATAGCAATTCAATGTTCTGGTTACTATAACGCTGACTAATGCCCCATCAAATTCACAATTGTTACCACTTCGATCACACTCAGTGCTGTGTGTGTATATATATGATTATATGTATAAGACCAGATTCCTCTTGGCATAATGCATAGCAATTAAGGGAGGGGGTGGAAGGAGTAGGATCTACAAACTCATCTACCCATGTCAATCTCAGGTACCCAATTGACCTATATGATCGAATCTGGAAGTCAGGACCAAGTCCTGCAGAAGGAGCCTCTAGCATATCATCTACGACTGCCATTCCCATCAACAATGCTAATGTAACAGTACCTCCTATACAAGTGTTACAGACAGCTCTAACCCATCCAGAATGTTTGGAGTTCCAGCACAAAGACCTTGACACTCGAGACTATAATTATCATGTCATCATTTACTTTCTGGAGCTCAATGGCTCTGTTCAAGCTGGGCAAAGGGTGTTTGATATATACATCAATAATGAAAAGAGAAAGGAGTTTGATATATTGGATGGTGGTTCCAACTACAATGCTGTTATTCTGAACTTTACAGCAAAGGGTTTTTTTAATTTGACATTGACCAAGGCCTCAAATAGGTCATTGTTTGGACCTATTTGTAATGCTTATGAGATCTTGCAAGTACGGCCATGGGATCGTCAAGAGACAGCCCAAGAAGATGGTAAGTTCTATATATTTCAACTATACAAACATATATATTTGGATAAATGAATATGGATACATATTTGACACATAACTATATACATATATTCTACTTGTGAAACAAAAATTTCTAGTATGCTATTGAGAACTCTCTTTATCTCTCTATCTCCAGTGGATGTGATTGCAGAGGTGAAGGCAGAGTTATTGGTAGTTAACCAAGATAATGAAGCGTTGGAGAGTTGGTCAGGGGACCCGTGCCTTCCTCTCCCCTGGCTAGGGCTGTACTGTGAGCCAATTAATAATAGTTCCTTTGTCATCACTAAGCTGTAAGTTACCTTTCCTCTTTCTGAAATTTCAGCAGTTGGATTTGTTTTGAATATGAATAATTGTCCAATACTCTATGCGTTTGATCCCCACAATTTTCCCAAGATCATATCAAAAAAAAAAAAACCAAAAAAAAAAAAAAAGAAGAAGAAGAAGAAAAAAAAAAAAAAAGAGGAGGATAAAGCATTTCTACATTATAGGAATAATTGAATATGGAACCATTACTTATAAATTTATTTGTGCTGTTCCCTTTTGCTATGTTTTCTCCAGGGATCTTTCTGACAGAAATCTTCAAGGGCCACTTCCTGCTAGTGCTACCGAGTTGACCCACCTAAAGGAATTGTATGTTTTACAGTACTATCTTTTACTGAAAAATTACTGTCAGAATAGTTGTCTGAGTTTCAAGTTTTAATATTTCTACTTGTTGGCTCTTACTTGTTTGTGAAATGTAGGAACGTAAGCAACAATCGCTTCACCAATACCATCCCAGAATTCCCAGTTTCGTCCATGTTGGCATCAGTGTAATCCACTCTCTTTAACTAATTTCTGAACATCAGGATAATTCAGATATACCATTTGAATTCCAGGTGCTATCAGTTTTATATACATATAAACTTTAAGGAATTTATAGAATGTCATGGAAACTAGAAACAGACTACAATTATGACAGAAAATGAGCAGGGTATTGGCTAAAAATGAAACCTTATAATTGAAGATAATCATCTAGAACCCAATTCAATGCTCAAATAGACCATATCATTTTCCCGTAGTGAACTTTACCGACTAAAATTTCCTAGCAGCAGATAACATGATACAATTAACACAAAAAATGTTCATAACCTAACTTCGTAAATGATGGTTCTACGAGCTAAATGAAAGGTGCCTAAAATACTTCTCTTGGGCAATAGTTGAATTTGTGGTGACACTTCGAATATCTTTTGATCCTTCATTTACACATTGCATCCTATCTCTATCAAATGGTTTTTCATATTTCCTTGTAGTCAGGTGCAGAATATATCACATTATAATCACATATTCTAGCTAGAAGCCTAAACCTCAACAAATTTCCTGATACTCCAGAAAACTGCCACCTTACATTTCTTGATTGATGTGCATTTATGTTTCAGAGATCTAAGCAACAATGATCTTATGGGGAAGATTCCAGAGTCTCTTGCATCCCTTCCATATTTGAAAAAATTGTAAGTTATCTTATCATTTCGTTTTGCGTAAAATCTAGCAAGTACATATAGAAGTTGAGTCTTGTTTCAGCAGTTCCACAAGAGGGGAAAATAGGACTTGTTTTGTAATATTTTTTTGATAAGTAACTTGTTTTGTAATATACTCCACCTAATTCAGTAGTTACATATTTGTGCTAGGTATTTTCGGTGCAATCCACATTTCAGCAAAGAGCCTCCTGCCAACATCACAAGACTTGATACAGAGTATGAAACTTACATGTTGAGAAGTCAATAGGAAAGGAACTGTTGATGAGAGAGAGTGGTATCTGATTTTTCACATTTTCTGAATTTCAGCAATGGATTGTGTGGTGCCCAAGGATCTTCGCGTTCAACACAAGGAATTGTCATAGGCACAGTTGCAGGTGGATCTTTCTTAGTTACCCTTGCAATTGGAGCTTTCATTGTTTGCTTTTACAAACGAAGTGTGATGGCTCGGGGAAAATTTGAAGGGCAAATGACAAAAAGTAAGTACATTAATCTCTTCTTCACTCAAAGATATTCTAAATATTACTTTAGGATGCTAGGAAAGATTACATTTGAATTAGATTTCAAAAGTAAATCATGATATTACCTATTTTATGGTTGACTGTCTAAATTTAAGTTTCAACTGTACACATAATCCTCAAAGGTAAGATGAAAGTTTATTATGCATTTGATTTGCATCCTTCAGTGAGAACCAGTTACCTTTTGGTACTTTATTACCTCCTGGAATGTGGCTCCTAAACAAGTAGCATGTAAGAGGGTGTTATCATAACCGCTCCAGTTAATTAAACACTTCCTGTTTGGTTCTCAAAATTTGTGAGGGAAAGAAAAAGGGAGGGGAGGGGAGGGGAGGGGACGGGGGGAGAAGGAATGGCATGTAAAATTAAAATTTTCTCCCTCGCTCACCCTCATATTTTCATTTCATTATGTTTTCCATGTAACCAGACAACAGAAGATATATATCCTTCATATTGTTCTTTTCCCTCACTAGAGCAGTGAACCATATGGGACCTCATTGTCTGTGGACCTTGTACCAACTAGCAACATATATGCAAACACAAAGAAGGATCTAATGAATAAAGAAAGAAAATCCTCTCAGCTTGCAGAGTCAAATAGAGGGAAAGAGCGTTACAAAATCCAGACTAAAAATATTAGAGAAACCTGTGACACAGGATTACGCCACTCTCTTTGCAGAGAATGATCTGAATCAGAGAATTGCCAAGTTGGAGCATGAAGACTAATACATATCTCAATATAATTTTTTCCCCCTATTTTTCACTCGAGACAGAGAGTGAATAATAATAATCAATCACTTAGGGGCCAATTACTTGTTTTACCCAGTGAATTTGTCATTTTTCCAGTCTTTCACTTTACTAGTATGGTTTCTCAGTAAAATTCTCCATATTGCAGATTTGGTTTTCTCAATACCCAGTATGGATGATATTGTTTTCAAGTCCATATCCATACAGAGCTTTACTCTGGATTCCATAGAAACTGCCACCCAAAAGTACAAAACTTTGATAGGTGAAGGAGGCTTTGGATCTGTTTACCGTGGGACTCTACCTGATGGTCAAGAAGTTGCCGTGAAGGTACGGTCATCCACTTCAACACAGGGAACTCGTGAATTCGATAATGAGGTAAAGAAGTCTGTTCTCTATTGAATATTTTGAATTATACCGAATTCAATGACGGAGATAAACTTGTCTATTCCTCTAATGCATATTTTAACATCACCTCCTATAACTTTTTCTTTTCTTATATTTGCACAATCTGACTTGGCATTTACGATCTAAAATGTGGCACAAACTTTTTCCAGATGGGCTATCGTTCATTTTTCTAATCAGAATCAATTAACTCCACTAAACATTTTTCAACCCAATCAAAGCAAACCTTTTTCTCGGTGAGGAGCACTGGCTAGTACTATCAGTCTATCAGTGTACTCTACAACTAAACCTTCTCTATGCAATTGTTATCAATGTACTCTATGGCTAAACCTCTGCAATTGTTATCAATTAACTCTACAGCTATCAATGTACTCCAAAAATCATGCCAACTTACGATTGCTATCAATGTACTCTACAGCTAAACCTTCTCTCTGCAATTCGGCATGAGAATCTGGTTCCACTTCTCGGCTACTGTTGTGAAAATGACCAACAAATTCTTGTTTATCCTTTCATGTCAAATGGCTCCCTACAGGATCGTCTATATGGTACGTCTTGTCTAAATGTCAACCATTTTCAGCTCATCTGCCTTAATATTCATTTTTTACAATACCAATTGTTAAACAGGGGAAGCAGCAAAACGAAAGACTCTAGACTGGCCAACCAGACTTTCTGTAGCTCTTGGTGCAGCTCGAGGTAAGTAATATAGCATGTTTAGCTTAATGGATTTTGTTCTTCTACTTTTTCAGAAAGGAAATATAATGTGCAGGAAAATTAGGTTTTGAAATTCAAACTCAACCCAAAAACATACAAACAAAGAAAATGAAAAAGCTCAGTCTTTCCTATTTCTTACAGGGAAGTAAAATGAAATGACTTCTTTTGGACTTCAACTATGACAATTACTTGTCTGAACATTGCATCAAAAATTCAATTTTAAAATAATCATAAAATGTTCAATAACACTGGTCAATGAAGAGAGCAAAAGGTAGCAATGAACTAACATATTGCAATTCAACTTCAAAAGAATATATTCGAAAAGAAACTGTAAGTCACAAAAACATTGAAGTTAGGTTACAAATTGCCCACAAAACGACTCTCAAAGAAACCACGAATGGAGGAAGACTCCTACTGAATCATTGGTTAGAAGTATTGCGGCATGTTGGAAGTTCATGTCTGTGTGAAACCAGGTACATGTAGTGTGGAAGAATTTTTTTGGTTCAGATAAATTATAATATTTCTGCCAAGATTAGTGAAATTTGTACAGCCTTCAGAAAGATCTCAGCACCAGCAAGGATACTATCTCTTCTCAAGAGAATCTGGATATACTGGATGAGATTTTCCAAATATGCAAACACAAAGCCTAGTTTTGTTCCTTTAATGGACCAGAATAGAGTCCTGGGTCTATATTGAGAACATCTTGTGATTTCAACACCATGATAGGCCATATTTAACACCTTAATGCTCTGTTCGGTGGGAAAGAAAAAAATTGGATGGAAGGGAGAGAAGAAGGGAAGGATGAGACATCCCTAGGGAAGAGATTGTGTATTTCCTTCTTTTTGTTCGGTTGGATAGAACATAAGAGAATAAGGGAAGGAAGGAGAAAGTTTTAATTGTTTTTACTATTATATCCAATAATATTTATAATATTGTAATTTATAGAGGATAGTACTGTAATTTAAAACTTGTATAATTTCGGATAGTATTTAATTTAAAATTTCTGTAATAGTCCACTTGTCTTCCCTCCTTTCTTCCGTCCATTTTTGGGCGGATGAAAATTTGTAGAGGAGGAAGGATGGGTCATCCTTCCCATTTTCCTTTCTTTTCTTGTATCATCTTTACCGAACAAAGAAGTTCGTTCCTTTCTTCCTATTTTCTCTTCACACTTCTTCCGTCCTATCGAACACAGCATAACAGTAATGAGTTGTATATAACTATACTTGATCCTATCAGTGAAGCTTGTGGTAAGTGCATGTGTTGTTCCCCCTTCTATGTAGCAAAGGAAAGTCTATACCAAACCCAAAAGAAGAGACACAAATCATATCACCATGGTGAAAGTAGCTCATTTTAATGGGTTTTTGGCAATGCTTACAATGATCAAGGTCTGGTCAAGTGGTAAATATACTCAATGGCAATTCTGAGGTTAAGGTTGTCCACAATTGCAAGCCCACCGTAGAAGCATTTTCCCATAATGAATAATGATTCCAGCAACTGTTGGCATTGTTTATAGGATCTGCAAATGAGCCTAGGTTTGATCAAGACCACCGTAGAAGCATTTTCCCATAATGAGAGAGAAGGCCCTTGCTTGTAGCATCCGAGACTGCATTACAAGAGATCTCCAAGAACTTAAGAGATAGCATTGATATAGAACAGAAGAACTACTGTAAAATCCATCAATTTGTCAAGTGCTGTGAGATCCTGGTTTTTTTATGGGTAAATAATGCATATAGACTATAGGTGAATAGAATGGTCTATTTAACAACTTTGGCTCATCAAAATTGCCTTAATCGTCTTGACTGTCAATTATTTGATAATGTTCGTTAATTCTGAAGTTTTTCTCTACTTTTTCTAATAGCCATTCTGCACCAGAATATTTGAAGAGTATTTCCATTTTCAGGTTTGACGTATCTTCACACATTTGCGGGGCGTTGTGTCATACATAGGGATGTAAAATCAAGTAACATACTCTTGGATCATAGCATGTGCTCCAAGGTAGCAGATTTTGGTTTTTCAAAATATGCTCCTCAAGAAGGGGATAGTGGTGTTTCTCTAGAAGTAAGGGGGACTGCTGGATACTTGGATCCAGAGTAAGTATGAATGCACTTTGGGTGCAGTGGTGCACAATAACATGCTTAATTTTTTTACTATAATGTATTCATCTCCTACTTTACTTTCATATGATCCATAATTGCCATTCTAGTAATCTACTCCACAAAATGCAAATGGAGGCTTTCTTAGACCCTAAGCACATCATTTCCCAAAAAGCTTCTACTGTAACATTAAATTTATTTCATCATCCTAGTGCTGGTTTCAAACTTAAAATGCACTATAACTTCAAGAATTTTCCTCATTGCTCAAATTATCACGTATTTATATTGTTCAGGTATTATTCAACCCAGCATTTATCTGCAAAAAGTGATGTCTTCAGCTTTGGTGTTGTTCTACTCGAAATAGTAAGTGGTCGGGAGCCTCTCAACATACACAGGCCACGCAATGAGTGGAGCTTGGTTGAATGGGTAAGGTCCAATTTTATGTTTCCTACATTCGACGAAGTTGCCACCCATAACATTTCTCTTATGTGGGTCATATCTAAAGATCAATTACATGACATGCATACAATTTTTCCAAACCACATTTCAAAGTTTGGTATTCTTCAATTGACATTGTGTAGCTTCCTCATATCCAAGTGTCCAATACCAAAAGATTTAGCCAACACCAAATTAACAGCGAACACAGAATCAGCTAATTGTGATTACATCATGGGTATTAAGGTTTCATACATACCCAAAAGCTGTGCTCCCAACCTAAGAGACAAAGGTAATGCAATTTAAAACTTTACCAGTTGGATACAGGCTGCTCAATCTTGAGCGCAGAGCTGACAGTCCCAATTTCAATATAACAACATTGAGATAATCTCTCTCTTTCTCAAAACCACATATAGTGTTGGCTATAATATCATATTGCAGTGAGAAACAGTGTACACCCTGGTCTGATATGCATTTTGGTCTCACAAATACACGAGATTGCAACCTTTGACAATAGCCACTAATTAAAATGTAGCTGCTGTTCTCTTCAGTCTAAGTGGCAAGAGAAACCAGGCAGAACATGCCTACACAACATTCTTACTTCTTTATTCTTTTGGGTTAATGGGCGGGATTGTAGTTCTATGGATTGTCTTTTGGATTTTGTTGATAGCTTTAAGCTATAGGGGCATCCTGAATGGCTTTTGTTTTCTATGGGAGCGCTCCCCTTTTGAGTGTCTTTTATGAAATCTTACTTTGTTGTATTATACTTACTTCCCATTTTAACAAAAAACATAACTAATAATGCACTTTTTGCATACAGGCCAAACCATATATAAGGAATTCAAGAATTGATGAAATTGTGGATCCTAGCATAAAGGGAGGATACCATGCAGAGGCAATGTGGAGAGTGGTGGAGGTGGCACTGGCATGTATTGAGCCCTTCTCTGCTTATAGACCATGCATGGCTGACATCGTGCGGGAACTAGAGGATGCTTTCATCATTGAGAATAACGCATCTGAATACATGAAGTCCATAGACAGCTTCGGAGGATCCAATCGCTTTTCCATCGAGAGACCAATTGTTCTTCCCACCACTCCAACTCCAACAGAACCATCCCCTATCCTTTCACAGCCTGCTCCTCCACAGCCAAGATAATTCTTTCGTGGATGAGATATCCAATAATTGCCAATGATGATCAGTTCAGTTACCTCACAAGAAAATTGATAAAAAAGAAAATGAAGGTTGATTCACACTCTCCTGTAAGAGACTAATGCAACTTGATGTTCATTTGATTTTCTTTAAGCTGAAAAGAATCTACTATGTGCTACTACACTTCTACTTGATTCAGTTTAGGCACTATATTGCATAATCTTCCTGCAATTGGAAACAGACTAGAACAGATTCATTAAAATCGGTGCAGTTGTTACTCTTAGTTACTCAACCACTGATCGTTGGGACAGTAAAGACACGGGCAAGAGTAGCCTAAACATCAGATTGAGCTGAAATTCAATCAGGAAAACCAATGTTAAGATCATAAGGTATCCAATCGTAGGATCATCAGAGCAGGAAAAATGGCTCTAAGTGTAAAGTTATGCTAATGGAGTTCAATTCCACAATTTGGGGCGCATACGGGCCTGTTCATAGTGGAAAACTGAACCAAACCCTATGGCTTGGTCCGGCTCTGAGAAGGAATGGTTCAGTTCCGGTTCTAAAATAAAGGAACCACAAAATATGATCAGTTCATGGTTTGCCATAAAAAAGAATCGAATTGTAACTTACTAATAAATATTTTTCATATTATTTTGATTGGTAAGCAACATATGCTATGACACTCCGTGATACATTGGATAAAGGCCAAAGGGTATATACTCTCTCATTACTAACCTTAATATCGCAATTTCTCATTCAAAAACTAGACACAACCCTAGCCTCCCATGCCAACTGACACCTCAACTTGCAACCGTTACTACCAAGTGCCAACCTTCAGCTGTTCTCCAGGGATCACTCTTTTCTATGATGATTTTCCTTCCTCCTCACTAACGTCCCTCCTCGTGAACGTAGCCTCGCCTCTTCAAACCAGTGTGATCCCTAATTTAGCCGTCACAACTAGTTTGCGTTGCCACTAGCCGTCACCATTGATTACCGGAATTAATGACCAAATATCTCTTCCCAATCATCACCTTTAGCCATCGAAATCATCATCATCAACAAAAAAGAAGAGAAGAAAGAGTCCAGCCCTACCGCCATCGACTTCATTATTGCAGCCTCAAGCCTTTCTTTGCTAGGATCCTGTTGAAAAAGAGATATTCGGTTTTAATAAGACCAGATTTTAGGGGATATGATAGGTGTGTAAATATAGATAGTCAATGACTAAGATTAGGAATTTTTGTTAGTGTACAGCCTGTAATTACAGCCTGTAGCTTGCTGTTACAGCCTGTAGTTTCTTTTTGTTAGCCCCTTGCATTTCCTATTTAACTAAAGCATTGTAAACCATTCAAAGTACGGCAATATACAGATTATTTTCAATCTTGAAATCACTTATTTGGTATAAGAGCATCTTACCGATTCTTCTGGCAAAAAAAAAACCCCTAGCCATCTCTGTTTTTTTTTTTTTTTTTTTTTTTTTTTCTCTCTCTTCCAAACAACCCTAATCACCATGTCTGATGATGTACCTGAGTCCAAGACCAAGACCTTTGAGTCTCAAGTCCAAAACTCTCAAACACACTTGGTCCAGATTACCACAATTCAGCTAAATGGTGAAAACTTCCTTCGCTGGTCCCAGTCCGTGCGGATGTACATCCGAGGCAAAGGCAAAATCGGCTACCTGACAGGAGAAAAGAAGGAACCGAAACCTGAAGATCCATCCTACCCGACCTGGGATGCAGAGAATTCGATGGTGATGACCTGGTTGGTGAATTCTATGGAGGAGGACATCAGTTCTAATTATATGTGTTACCACACAGCAAAAGAACTCTGGGACAATGTCAACCAGATGTATTCAGATCTGGAAAATTAGTCTCAAGTCTATGAACTAACGCTGAAACTCGGAGAGATCCGTCAAGGAGATAACAGTGTTACAAAATATTTCAACTCTCTAAAACGTTTGTGGCAGGACCTTGATTTGTTCAGCGATTATGAGTGGAAATCGCTTGAAGATTGCAACCATTACAAAAAGAAGGTGGAAGACAACCGCATCTTCAAGTTTCTCATTGGACTTAATGTCGAGTTTGATGAAGTGAGAGGTAGAATAATTGGACGACAGCCCTTGCCTTTAATCAGTTAAGTCTTCTCCGAGGTTCGAAGAGAGGAAAGTCGCAGGCTGGTCATGCTTGGAAAAAAGTTATCAAATGGTGTTGTTGAGACCTCTGCCCTGGTAGCATCTGAAGCGAATATTGGCAGGAAACATAATGAAAAGCCCCGTCTTTGGTGTGACCACTGCAACAAGCCTCGCCATACTCGTGAAACCTGCTGGAAAATTCATGGTAAACCAGCGAATTGGAAGAGTAAGCAGGAAGGCAGATTCAACCGAGCCCCATCAGCTCATGAAGCCGAGGCACTTCCCTTCAGCAAAGAATAGATGGAACATCTTTTAAAATTGCTAAAATTCAATTCCTCATCTGGTACTCCTAATGCTTCTCTTGCTCAAACAGGTAACAACCCGAAGGCCTTATCTTGTCGTTCAAATTCCAGTGTTACCCAATGGATCATTGATTCAGGGACTTCTGACCATATGACAAGTTTTTCTCATTTACTTCAAACTTATTCACCCTGTTCTGGCTCTGAAAAAATCAGAATAGCTGATGGTTCTTATTCTCCTATTGAAGGCAAAGGTTTGGTAAAACTTTCAAATATTATTGATCTTAAGTCTGTCCTTCATGTCCCTAAGCTTACTTGTAACCTTTTATCAGTTAGTAAATTGTCCAAAGACTCTAATTGTTGTGTTATCTTTTTTGAATCCTATTGTGAATTTCAGGACCAGAGCTTGGGGAAGACGATTGGCAGTGCTAAGATGATAGATGGTCTCTACTATTTTGAAGATGATATTTCAAGTAATAAAAAGGCTCAAGGTCTGAGTAGTTTTCATTCTATCCCTGTTAGAGAACAAATAATGCTATGGCATTTTAGACTAGGGCATCCTAGTTTCCCTTATCTTAAAAGGATTATTTCCTACTTTATTTAAAGGATTGGATTGTTCATCTTTTTATTGTGAGAATTGTTTTTTATCAAGGAGTCATCGTACTACGTATTCTCCAAAACCTTACCAAACATCAAAACCATTTTATTTAATCCATAGCGATGTTTGGGGCCCTTCTAGGACCACAACTCTTTCTGGAAAAAAATGGTTTGTGACTTTTATTGATGATCATACACGTTTGTGTTGAGTGTATTTAATGAATGAAAAATCTGAGGTTGAAAAATTATTCAAGGATTTTTATATGATGATTGAAAATCAATTTCAAACAAAAATTGGCATTCTTCATACTGATAACGGCACCAAATACTTTAATGAAGTTTTAGGAAGTTTTTTAACAGAAAAAGGAATTTTTCACCAATCCATTTATGTTGACACGCCCCAACAAAACGGAATTGCTGAAAGAAAGAATAAACATTTACTTGAAGTTTGTCGTGCCATCATGTTTTCAATGAATGTTCCTAAGTATTTGTGGGGTGAAGCCGTTTTAACAGCAACATATTTGATTAACAGGATGCCTACTCGTGTTCTTAACTATTTTACACCCTTGAAAGCCTTAAAAAATCTTTTCCTGAAACTCGGATTTATTCCAACCTGCCTTTGAAAGTATTTGGGTGCACTGTCTTTGTCCATTTACCTAGTAGACTTCGGTCTAAATTGGATCCTCGGGCTGAAAAATGTGTATTTGTTGGGTATGCCCCAAATAAAAAGGGGTACAAATGCTTCAATCCCGAAACAAAAAAAATGTTTATCAGTATGGATGTCTTTTTTCTATAAAATCATCTTTATTTTCAGAAAACTTTTCTTCAGGGGGAGAAAGAGAGTGAAATTTTTTTTTAGGAGATTTCTATTAATATTCCCTTACCTAAAACTATTGTCTCACACTCTATTACTCCGAACACTGATCTTTTTAAACAGGGAAATGATGTTCTAGAATCAGGAAATCCGGGGCCTCCTAGTCCTAATCTGCCGAGCCTTACTATATCTCCAACAGGGGGAGAAATCCTACCAACGGTTCCAAAAAAAACCGAATCCTGAGCTTCTGGTTTATAACAGGAAAAAGACTCATCAAAAGAGTAGAGAGCCTACTATTGTACCTGAGCAAGGCCAATCAGAGGTCCTGAGCAATGACTCCTGAACACTCAAGGTACTCTAAATCCTAACTTGTCTGCAGTTGTCCCTACTATTTCTGATAGTACAGAGTCACCTAGCCAAGTTCCTGTAGACCTTGTTATCCCTATAGCCGTTAGAAAAGGAATCCGAACCTGTACCTAGCATCCCATTGCCAAATACTTGTCTTATGATAAACTTTCCCATAAACATAGGGCCTTTACTTCAAATATTTCTCACTTGTTTGTTCCAAGAAACATTCAGGAAGCACTAGATGATCCGAATTGGAAATCAGCAGTGTTAGAGGAGATGAATGCTCTTAAAAGGAGTGGAACGTGGGAGATGATTGACTTGCCCAAAGGAAAGAAAACTGTTGGGTGTAAATGGGTTTTCACTATTAAGTGTAAAGCTGATGGTAGTGTGGAAAGGTACAAGGCAAGACTTGTGGCGAAAGGTTTTACGAAAACATACGGCATTGATTACCAAGAGACGTTTGCTCCTGTAGCAAAAATAAATTCTATCCAAGTCTTATTGTCGTTGGCAGTCAATTCTAACTGGCCATTACATCAGTTGGACATAAAAAATGCCTTTTTAAATGGAGACTTGGAAGAAGAAGTGTTTATGAGCTTGCCACCTGGGTTCGAAGGAAAACACGGTCGGAGCAAAGTCTGTAAACTCAAAAAATCCCTATACGGTTTGAAACAGTTTCCAAGAGCGTGGTTTGAACTCTTTGGAAAGGTTGTGAAGAGTCATGGGTATCATCAGAGTCAGGCAGACCATACCATGTTCTACAAACACGGTGAGGAAGGGAAAATTGCCGTTTTAATTGTGTATGTGGATGATATAATTTTGACAGGTGATGATATTGAAGAGTTGACCAGACTGAAGAAGAAACTTGCTAAAGATTTTGAAGTCAAAGATCTGGGAGCATTAAAATAGTTCCTTGGAATGGAATTTTCCAGGTCAAGAGAAGGAATTTTCGTGAATCAACGAAAATATGTACTTAATGAGACAGGACTACTCGGGTGTAAAGCTGTTGACACTCCAATTGAAGTCAACCTGAAGTTAGAAGCTACCGAACCCGTGAATATGGTTGATCGTGAAAGATATCAGAGATTGGTGGGAAGACTAATTTACTTATCTCACACACACCCAGATATAGCATTTGCAGTCAGTATGGTGAGTCAGTTCATGCACTCTCCTGGACAGGAACACTTTGAACCAGTGTAGAGGATTCTGAGGTACTTAAAGGGCTCACCAGGTAAAGGACTTATGTTCAAGAAACAAGGTCATTTGCAAGTGGAGGTGTACACAGATGCTGATTGGGCAGGCAGTATAGTTGATAGACGATCTACCTCAGGATATTGCACCTTCGTTGGAGGAAACTTAGTCACGTGGCGAAGCAAGAAACAAAATGTAGTAGCAAGGAGTAGTGCAGAAGCCGAGTTCAGAGCACTCGCCTATGGGATTTGCGAAGCTATATGGTTAAAAAGACTCCTTGAAGATTTGAAGGTTACTGTTTCCTCCAATGAGAGTCTACTGTGACAACAAGGCTGCCATTTCAATTGCTTATAATCTAGTCCTCCACGACAAAACCAAACATGTGGAAGTTGACAAACACTTTATCAAGGAAAAGCTTGACTGTGGTATGATTTGCATTCCTTATGTCTCTACTACTGAACAAGCTGCAGACATCCTTACCAAAGGACTACACAAGAGACAGTTTGAAGTTTTAAGAAGCAAGCTAGCTATGGAAGACATCTACAAGCCAGCTTGAGGGGGAGTGTTGAAAAAGAGATATTCAGTTTTAATAAGACCAGATTTTAGGGGATATGATAGGTGTGTAATTATAGATAGTCAATGACTAAGATTAGTAGCTTCTGTTAGCATACAGCCTGTAGCTTCTGTTAGTGTACAGCTTGTAACTTGCTGTTACAGCCTGTAGTCAGCCTGTAGTTTCCTTTTGTTAGCCCCTTGTATTTCCTATTTAACTAAAGCATTGTAAACCATTCAAAGTACGGCAATATACAGATTCTTTTCAATCTTGAAATCGCCTATTGATCCATCTCCAATCCTCACTAACCGCTGTCACTGTGCACCACCTTGCCGATTGTCACCGCCCCAATCTACAGAATCGTAGAACAAAACTGGTCTTGTACGGTTCGATTTGGTTTAGTTCCAACGCAAAAATTTTATGCAACCATTGGGACCGGTTGTGTAAACAGGTTGTGCAAACATTATAATTTTTTAACTGTGTATATTTTGTAAAAGGAATCTAAACATATTTCTCTCCCAAATGGTACTCTTGCTATGTCTCAAGAGTACTAATTGAGGCATAAAGTTACTCGTACATAGGAATAAGAGGTGTTGACCTTAAAGAGAAATGTGAGAGAAGTGTGCGTGCTGCATACATGAAGTATTAAGCGCAAAAACTAGAGATCTTTTACTATTATAGTCAATTTTTTAGTAATCACTACATGAGACGGCAATTACATTCTTATATAACAACTATAATTTGATTTCACATTGGCAACATGGAAAAAAATTCAGAAGGGGATTTGAATTCAACATTTGAGGACAGACCACAATTAAATAGTAAGGTACCTTTTATTTATTTGGTCAAAGGGGATTTCATTGAAAATTACAAAACCAGTACTCTTGATTAACAATTATCAAATTCAACTAATAAGCCTTAATCTAAACTTCTCGGTGTCCCACCGCATGAAAATGGCCTTCTATTGTCAACCATTTTTGTAGTCATATCCTCCTCCTATATTACAACTAAGAAGAATGTCTAGCACACTCTAATACATAATATATTTTATCGAACCCCATCCCTGTTTGCATTTGCAAAGATGCTCATCAATGGCAAACAACCTACAATATGCTATCAAAGACTTTCTAAATAAATCATTCTTTAATGCCTTGCAGATCATTTTTTTTATCATATCCACTATTCGATAATTTAAGAGGAAATTGCTTATTGTTGACATTCAGGGACATGTTAGACTTTGGCACCTGATAAACCGTAACTGTGGAGCTCCAACTCTTTTGATTGATACTACTCTCTTCCTCTACTACTTCATCTTCTTGTTCACTTGTCAATCACTAGCATGTCAGAGCTATAAATATTGAATAGTTATTTCCAACATATTCAATAATGGTGATAGTGTTGTGTCATCTCAACCCAGGTACAGGGTGAACATCCAATCTAGGTAACCCAATTCTTTAGTTAAATGCATAGTAAACATTTATCTTATATTTCCATTTTTTTATTTTTTTTTATCAGGTAACCCAATTCTTAGATTAATGCATAGCAAGCATTTATCTCATATTTCCAGTTCTCTCTCCTTTTTTTTAGGTCAATGCATAGCAAGCATTTATCTTATATTTCCAGTTCTCTCTTTTCTTTTCTTTTATTTTTTTTATAAAGGTAACCCAATTCCTTAATAGCAGCATTTATTTCATTTTTCCATCTTCTTTTTTTTATTTTCTCCCTGGCACTAAACAATGGGGTGAGATCATATAAAATGTGAAAGTACATACAAACCAAATGGTGGACATCCCCTTCCCCATAGAAAGGACAAGGTAAGGGTTAAAGCCAGAAAATTTTTAAGTGATTAAAACTGAGACATAGAACATGACTTTTTTCCCTTCTCTTACAAAATATACACAAGGAATGTTTAAGAACATGTTCATGGAAATTTTACTGATATAAGAGTGATGTGACAAACAAGTTACAATACAAGATGAGAAATATTAGCACTAGAGGACAATTCATATTTGAGAAACTTGCGGAAAGCACAAAGTGAAGGCAAGGGGTAAAACAAATATGATGTTGTTGAGAAGGATGAGTGGTAAAACAAGAAAAGTAGACCAAGAAATATATCTGCTTTTTAAGAAATTGATGTAGCAACCACATGACAAAAAAAAATTTAGAGAAGGAAAAATAAAAATTGTTTGGAGATCTGCAACAGACTGGTAAAAGCTCCAGTAAGGAGGTAGATGGTCCAAAATCAAAGATTTACAAGAACAAATGAATGGCCCAAAAATAGAATATGTCAAGGTTGGGAGAAAAGACATCGTCCAATATTATGCCGAATGTAAGGATTTCCATTACTGATCCGAAAATGTTAATAAACCTTCTTTTTTTTTCTTAAAAATCAACAAGCACTAGCATTCCATTTGACTTCCATTATTGATCCATCAGGAACAGGCATAGTAAAAATGAACTCGCATATTGCCAATGTCAACATGTAGCAATAGACCATAGTCTTTCAATTATATTGCATAAGATAACTTGGAGATGTACTAACTAAAAAACTAAATAACATAAAAAATTTAAAATGAAAATCATGGACATATGACTTCTAAATTGGATCCAAAATGCAAACAATCTATTTGATATCTTTTTCCTTCTTTTTGGGGGGGGAAAATAAACAAAATTTATAAAAAGAAAAGAGAACTGGAGAATAAAAAAATATTCAATATCTAGATAAGAGGATCTTACAGGCAAAGCTATGTGTCTACATTGACACCAATCCAATAAACATCAAGTAGTAAAGAGAGATGGGTTGGCTGTTGCAGTACCCACTTGGACTTCAAGCAGTTCCAAACGACGTTCTAGTGTATCAAGCTTCTCATTCAACGATGCTAATTTGCTCTTCGTTGTAGCCTCTGAAAGTAAAAGGATTCAGAATATCATAAGTGGACATCATTACATCTTAAATCCCACCAAATGCTACCTCATGCGCAACAACTATTCAGAAGTGTAGTTAAAGACAATCCTAAACTCAAACATTGAATTCAAAGCATGTCAAGAGACTTCCCCCCCCCCCCCCCCCCCGCGCAAAAAAAAAATAATAATAATAATAATAATAATAAGGTGGCAATAAAGTTTCTCACAATCCAAATATTTTTTTTCCTAGTTGGTACACACACTTATCTCTTTTGAGACTTGAACCCTGACCTCCTTTGGGAAGTAAGAGGCTGATACCGCTAGGCCACTGGCCGTTGGTCTCATAATTCAAATAGGCTTATATAGATTTCAATTATGTATCAAAAGGAATTCATATGCAATAAAACTTTAACTGGGGCTACCAACTGGATTTTGCTAACCAGGGGACCATTCATTCAACCAAAAGTTTAAATGGAGAGAACAATTGTTCGCTATAGATTGAATGAGGACACCCATTTCTAGAGACACCAAGCTCAACATCAAAGTCTAATGTTCAATACAATGCATAGATTGAAGTGAAATTAAGGAGATTAGACTGAGAGGGAGATTGGGGCGGGGCAAAGATAAGACCTTAGTTAAATCCATAAGTTCATCCTTGAAACACAGAACGTTCCATTTTCAGAACATGGATTGTGAACATTCAATCAACTCTTCCTAGAATTTACTTTGTTTGGGGAGAGGCAAATTACATTCTGGGTTAGGGTTTTCGAGACGGAGATTACACAATAGTAGCATATAAATGTCGGAAATGGATCCAATCTTTTTCTCTGCAAGCCATTACAAGCCTAAACCCAACTATCAGGAACATGCCATGATTGAACTATTTGTATATGAGATCTGAGCAGGAAGAGACAGAAAATGAAAGAGAAATGAGAATTTGTGTACCGAATTGGACGAGGAAGTCAAAGAGGCGACGAACATTGAGGGAAATGTGAGATATGAACTCGCGATTCTCCCAGTCTGCTTGCACTGCTATCCCTACGTTCACTGCGTTCGTTATTCCCCCAGCTCGAGCCATTACATTATTTTGAGAGACAGAGAGAGAGAGAGTTCTAGAGAGAGAGCAGCAGCAGCGGTGGTTCTGCACACTACATTGTCTAGAAGACGAGTATTGAGTTGAAGTGAAAATGGGATTGAGGTATGTTGGAGTTTGGTGGGTTTTGACTTGTTTATTGTTACCCTAATCTTCGAAGGCAAGCTCGCTCTCATTATTATCGGTTTGAGAACAAAAGACAAAAAAAACCTAAACATTTTTAACTAGTGTCTTGGTTTAGTATTTTGAAAAGACTAAAAAATAAATAAATTTGTGAGCTGGCTCTCATTATTATTGGTTTGAAAAAAGAAAAAAAAAAAAAAACTTAACATTAAAAAGACAAAAAAAAAAAAAAAAAAAAAAAAAATTGTGCAAAAATTTGTTTAGTTGACTTTTTTAGAATTGTTTTTTAAAAACTTAGTTTAAAAAAAAAAAATTCTTTCAGAACTATTTTCTTAATGACAATTTAGTTAAGTTATTAGTATTCGGAAGCAGAATTGTGAGTGTGTGCACTTTGGCTTAGAATTTTGAAAAACATAAATAAAATAAAATTTTCTAATTGAATTTATAAAAATTGTTGTAACACTGTACTATTGTCTTTATTTCATCTCCTTCTACTTATGTTAGTAGAAGAGAGACTTCAGTGGACTGAAATGTTTTATTTAAACATCATCCGAAATTTTGGAACATACTTAGGCTCATTTGTTTGGATGTAAAATATTTTTAAAAAATGTTTTTTATTTTCTGTGTTTGATTGTCGTAAAATATTTATTAATAAAAAATATATATTAAAATTTAACAAAAATAATTTATCTATCAATTTTCAATAAATTATTTTAAATATTAGATGTTCCGTCCAATAGACTCAATCTCGACCTCGACATACATCTTTATCAAACATCAAAATAAATAAATAAATAATCTACCTAAAAATAAATAAATGTTGAAACAATCGGATCTTTATTGTTAGAGATTTGTGAATTGGAGTGTTAATAAATAAATAAATAATCTACCTAAAAATAAATAAATGTTGAAACAATCGGATCTTTATTGTTAGAGATTTGTGAATTGGAGTGTTAAGTCATTTATTAATTTTCGCATCATTTACAAAGTTGGCTAGGATAAACTTGCAAGCAACCAACATAAAGTTGCATGCGCCTTTCATTATGAATATTGAACCAAATGAAGCACAACCGACATTTAATGGAAACAAAATAATGCAATCAAACTCATCCGACAGGCTTTGAGAAGACTTCAAGTCATTTGCTTCCTCAAACTTATCTTTTCTTACAACTGAATTATTAGCGTGTACAACTTTTCCTTTAAATGTTATTAACAAAAATGACAAGATAAATATATGAAACTGAAAACGCAGTCAAATCAAAGAGTAAAAAAATCACTCACAAAAACGGTTTTAAAAAATTCAAATATATATATATATTTTTCGAGAATTATAAAAGGTTTAAAAGTCAATTCTCTAAAATCAAACTTTTTTTTACTAAGTTTTTAAAAAGCAGTTCTTCAAAAGCGTTGACCAAGCAAATTTTTGTTTAATTTTTAAATTTTTTTTTTTAAAAAAATTGTTATCTGAAAACTAAAGCAGACGCCCAAAACAAATACTCTCGCAGTACCATGTATATGCTATATATACATGGGGTGGGCATGAGGCAGTGCCATATATACTAATTTATGTACTTATCAAATATATATATATATATATATATATAGACTAATTTATGTATAGAATTTCAAGTGACGTTGAAGTAAAAAAAAAAAACATGTGGAGCTTAGTTATTACGTCAGATCAGGTTGAAGTAGTCTATGAAAAACTGTTTGATAATTTTTGGTCAATTGTTGAAATAGAGATATAGATCGATCACTCCGTTTGTTTTGACGTAAAATATTTTTTTAAAAAAATATTTTTTTTCAGGTAAAATATTTTTTTATTTTTACTTTGTCAATATTTGATAAAGATTTACGTCGAGGTTGGGGTCAAGAACATGTAAAATAATTTGTTGAAAATTTATGGATAAATTAATTTTGTTAAATTTTAATATATATATTTTTTCGTATATATTTTACGACGTTCAAACAAACGGAGCCTAAATTGAAGAAGTTTTCAGAACCTGAAAATAACAAGAAGTATTGTAAATCAAGATTCAAATCCGTTAAAACTTATTTTCGATCAGATCATGCTGTAACTGTATTTTTATAGAGAAATTGATCTATTTTATAATCAGTTATGCTGCCATTAGATATTCATATACTGGGGACAGATACTTTTTCATTCTCAGAATCATAAGAACTCTGTTCCCAAGCATTGTGTTATGGGTTTGACATATTCTTGTTGAATGTTATTTTGTCTTGGAAGGCTGCGGCTGTTTGAAACTTGTTTATAAATTATTTTTGAAAGCGAAATTGGAGCATGAAAATTTAATTTGTGGAATTGAAAACGATTTATTATATAAGTTTTTGGGTTGTGGGTCACTTTTTATAAGTAATTTTTTTGTTACTGTTTTTGTTTCAAACTGAATTAAGATTTATGGTTATAACTTATAATAGATGAGGAAAAAAAAAACTTATACTAACCCAAAATATTGAACTATATTAAAAACTGTAGCTATTTTTTATATTTTTTTTTAAAGTAAATTGTAACAACAATAAGTTACTACTAACCTTATTTATAGTAAATCCTAAATAGTAAATGTTTCTTTTTTTTTTTCATCCTTTTATATAGTAAATTGTAAAAACAATAACTAACAACACAAAACCTTAAAGGTAATGGGAGCAGCTTGAATGTTATTGTATTATGATTCCAACCATTTACTTCCTCCATCAAGTTCAACCCGTTGAAGTGCAGTTGGTTCTTTCCCACGCTTATAAAGGCAATATATCTATTTTTGAGCTAGTTATAACAAACAATTTCGCAATTATCAAGTTCAATCTATAGTATCTCTTCTTCACTGAACACTCTGAATCCATAATATCTCTTCTTCACTGAACATTCTGGGAACCAAAGGTGTTTTGGTCCAGAACTTCGGCAAAACGCCCCACCATCTCTCCTTACATTTAGATCAGCCATTGTTAAAAAAACAATGTTCAAAGTTACAACTAACCTAACAACATTATATACCACCAAAAAAAAAAACTTGTCTGAGCAAGATTATCTGCATGCATAAAACATGAAGCATGAAATAATAACATATAGAACTATATAGGTTTGGTCTAGAACTTTTTAGGTTTATGTATTCGCGGTCAAATCTCAAAGTTTTATTTTTATTTTTATTTATTTTCAAGAGTCAAGTACAAAATATGAATAGTCGTTACAACAATCTAATCTTCGTGATTGGAGGGAATATTTTTTTTGGCGATTTCAATGCCAAACTTGATAAGTTTTGTATTTGATAATTCTTTAGATATGAAAATTCACTTCTCTCTTTTTTATTTTTACGTTTATTATTTAACTAAATCCACATTTTCAAATATTGGATTTTTTTTTTATACGCTAAATGAACAAAACAAATCAATTTAATAACATTTATTAGTAGCTTGATAAATTGCAGATTTTGAATTAGGATAGAAAAATTTGTCAAAGGATGTTCCTATAATCTAATCCAAAAGTCATTCTGTTTATAATATACCATAAAGTAGTCCAATTTGATAAGAGACGTAAGTAATTTTTATTTACCCACTTAATTAAGACTGTTTTGAGATTTGCAAAAAGTCAAATAAATTATTTAATAAATCTTTCAATTCATTTATTAAATTAAAAAATTTACCTATAAATTACAATCATATATATATATATTATTATTATTATTATTATTATTATTTTAACTCACACACTCATTTACTCTCAGTTGAACAAAATGAGTGCTTACCAAGGATAACAATATACATTTTATCTGACATTTTTTTTTTTAATTCAATTTGAGATCTAAGACAGACTTTAATTGAGGCCTTTTACCATGATACAACTGTATAATTTTGGATTTTAAACATTAATATTTTTTTCTCATTTTCCTGATTTTCAAAACAAATTAAAATATATATATATATATAAATACGAAGGCTAACAATATATTTCTTGCATAGATATACGGTCGAAAGTTTGAGTAGTCATATATATTTCAAATGCTAATGCAAAGGACAAAACATACACCTCGGCAGGGGATAGGTGGCTACTTCCCATGAAGTGGAAATATAATTACATAAAAAAATTCGATTAAGAACAAATTACTTAAAAATCGAATAAGTAGAATATAAAAACAAATGAGAAACCCAGTGCATGTTTTTCATAGATTTATGAGGAAGATAATTGCCAGTATAATAAAAGAGTATTTGAGATCCTTGGTAACATATAAAAAAATAAATAAATAAAAAGTGTATATTATATATAAAAAAATAAAAATAAAAAACCCAGCAACAGATGTTATTTGAAATAATATAATAACAAAAATAAAAAGTCTTATATAATTTAAATTATATTACATTCATCTTGAAATCTGCTTATGACAAGTGCCCTTAATAAAACCTTTGGTGAATTTTGGAATTAATTGTAAAAATGAACAAGATTACAATTGACTGCTTCCTAAATTTAAAATTAGATGATTTATGAAAAAAAAAAATTTAAATTAGATGCAAAGTATCAAAGTATCGTAGAAATTTTTACCGTAAAAAAAGTATCGTAGTAATTTTAGTAGCAAAAAAAATTAGAGAAGTGCTTGGGTGGAGAAAAATAAAAATAAAAACTATCGTGGGTCCTAATAACAAAGATATTTAGAAATTTATCCAACCTAATTGTCTTGACTTAAAAAGGGATTTTTTTTTTTTTTTTTGGATATAATAAATAAAGTCAAGTATGGTTCCATCCATTAATATCAAAGGCTAAAAACACCTTAGGCCCAGACAAATCGACTTTTAGCAATCTTTCCATTGACTAAAGTTTTCGATAGGAAGGGTGAGGAGGAATTAATAAAAAAAATTAATATGTTGTTTTTAAATTTTTAGTATACATTTAGTTAGCAGAAATTGTTTTAACAAAGTTGCAGGAAAAATATTATTTTGTTAGTTTCAGTAGTCTGAAAGAGAAAAGAAAGTAATTATATTTACCGAAATTACTCTTATGTCTAATGAGCGCTTAAAAAAAATTAATATTGTGCAATAGATGATGAAAAAAATAAAATAAGGCAACCAAATTTTTAAGTTTGAATGGGACATAGCTAGAAATTTTAGCTTGCATAACTTTTCCTTTAAATGTTATTAACAAAAAATGGCAAGATGAATATATGAAACTGAAAACGCATTCAAATCAAAGAGTAAAAAAATCACTCACAAAACAGTTTTTAAATATTCAAAAAACAAAAGATTATTTTTCAAGAATTATAAAAGGCTTAAAAGTCAATTCCCTACAAACAAACTTTTTTTTACTAAGTTTTTTAAAAACAGTTCTTCAAAAGGGTTAATCAAGCAAATTTTTGTATAATTTAAAATTTTTTTTTTTAATTTTTAAAAAACAAAAAATTGTTATCTGAAAACTAAAACAGATGCCCAAAATAAATACTCTCACAGCTTGAGAGAAGAGGACAGATAAAACAATCCTTTCAAATCCTAGGGAAAAAAAAAAAAAAGAAAGAAAAAAAGCCTGGTATAACATTTAGAAGGGTGTAAAATGGGTTGGGCTAGACAACAGGAATGAAAAGTACAGCCCAACTAAGATCAGGCCATCTTGAGGTTGGTAATACATTTAAATGTTATTTATAAAACTTGATCACATTGATATTTAATACAATATGTATAATTGAAAAATAACTAACGAAATTTTTGTTTAACTATATAAAAAGTTATTAATCAGTACATATATAAATTTTTTTTTTTTGTTTTTTTTGTTTTTTTTTTACAAATGCCTCGATAGCCCAGTGATTAGTGCCTCCGGTGGATTTTGGGAGTGCCTGACTTCGACTCTTTGCACCTACTCATCTAACTTCTAACCCTTCTTGCCTTATAAAAAAAAAAGTATTTTTTATTTTTTTTTTTTTTTATAGATATGACCCATTTGTTTCAACAATTAAGAGTCAAACCCCACACCTTTCATAAATTCAAGCCTTCATTGAGTCAACTCGAACAAGACCAAAGCATGAAGTCATGTCATGACCAGGTTGCAGTTTAGTTGGGCCTCAAAGAGAGACAAAACCCCAAGAGTAATAGATTTCGGGTAAGGGCCCAATAATAGTAATGTGATTGGGGAGCAAATCTTATACTGGAGTGGAAGTAAGTAGGAGAACCACTCAGATAGGGCTACAATGAGAGGGCACACAGAGCGTGAGGACCATACTCATTTAAAAAATTTGTATAATTTATAGTAAATTTGAACTAATTCATGTTAATCTATAGTAATTTTAGAGTCAAAATTCATATGCATATGACCCATATATATTGGCCTAAGTACTTGATTTATTTAAAAGCAGATTCAAATTCAATCTGATTACATGAAAGATCTTCCGATGAAGATCGGACCCTTTTTAAAATTGAATTCAAAATTAAAATCTAAACTTGTTAAAATAGTTTCGGATTAGATTTGGATTCAAACTCAAAGTAAGTCAAATTCAAGATAATTGAGTTCATTGCATCTATGACACATTATAACACCTTCTAGCCTGCACCATATGGTCCGGATTGGTATTTTTTTCACAAAAATCATGATGGATGCGATTTTTTTTGGAACGGTCGTTCAAAAACATTACCACAGATTTAAGTAGAGCAATAATGGCACGTTAATTTCCCAAAAAAAATTATGTCACGTTAGTAAGGCATATACACGTTAATGGTGTAGTACAATAACTTGGTGTGAAAGTGAGGACAAGTAAAAGGAATCCAAAGTGGGGGTGTGAACACGATAAGTCGATAACCAAGAAATAGAGTGGGGACAACGAATCTTAGGGGGTAGACGTTTTTATGTGCCAGTGTACATTCTTTTTCACAACCCTTGCAGCGTTAGAGACATGCGACAAAAACCAAGTCCCCACAAGTTTTGATGGGTTAGGCTGGCAGAAGTTTTGGTTGTACCAAATTCACATGCTTAACTGTACACTATATATATATATATATATATATACATATATATTCAGAAGAAAAAAAAGGGTTTATATACCGTATAATGGTATTGATTCTCTTTTATATTGGTTAGTTCAAATGAGAGGATTTTGTAAATTTAATATTTGTAATAGCATATAATATTGAAGAACACATCATTTTAATTTGGTACATGTGACAAAACTTGACCAAACATATAACCTGTCAATTTGATACCTGTCATTTTTTGTTATCTGAGTTTCATCAAGACTCAAGAGAGTATAGCAAAACTAATTGTAGTCCTACCTTGATCAAAAAACACATCAAGATGACTAGTATTTTAAATTCTAAAAACTGCAATGACAAGGGCTTTAGAATTCAATAGTATTGCTTCATTTTTCAGAATAAAAGATCTAAAATTTAATTCTTTATAAGGACAAAACCAGTGCTAGTCATTTGGAACCAGTGCTAGTCATTTGGTTACATATATAAATTTCATACTGAAATATTTCTCTTTTATATTATATATCTATTATTTTTATTTTTTAAATTTTATATCTATAAAATTTTAAAATTATTCCTGCTAAAATTACATAAAAATCCCACTTTTGACCCCCAACAACATTATATACCTAATTTTTAAAAAATTTTAAAGGCTTCACATAATTTTCTAACAACCTTTCCACGTATATATTAAAATCATTGCCACTTGTCATCCTCCTTTATCACTACCACTTATTAGACAAAGCTCATACCCCATTGACTCTCAACCCCCAATAACAAATTTATTTTGTGAGCTGTGATTAGTGGATATATATCCCTTTATCTAGTGAGGCCTGCATGACACCAATTGTGACAATGAATATGAATTGAAAGATAGGCCCCACAAAAGTGGTGCAGAAAGGATAAAACCTACTAGTATATGTTTGATTCCAATTGTTAACGATATAAAGATAAGAGGACCACCAAACTCAGAGAGTCTCACACATTATTATTATTATCGACCAAACTCTTGTGAAGCTTAGCGGCAACCCTTTATTGGCTTATACATGGGGGCTGATCTGAACCACCGGCGGTCATCGTACTTCTCCGGCTGCATGTCGCCGTCGTGTGTCCCCGTGCACGAAGAATACGCTCGCATTCGTTTACCGTCTGCAGGTGCTAAAAGTGGGAACCGGAAATGGCGAAAGCTGATCAAGAAGTTAGTGAAGGAGAGCAAGAGCATATATGGATCCAAACCTTTGACATTCCAATATGATGCTGTTAGCTATTCACAGAACTTTGATGAGGGGTGTCACCACCAAGATTATGGCCAGTGTCCACAAGCATTTCGAGAAATTAGATGGCATGTACATAAGTGATATATATTTTATATAGTCAGATGTGTTTGTTAGTAAGTGTTGCTTAGATCACTTCCTTTAATGTTTAGATCTAGGGGGTATTAAAAGATATATATTTATTTTCTTAATCTTGATGTTCTTATTCTCTTTAAATTGAAATATAATACTATTATGTGGTTTTTCAGTCCTCTATTGATTGTATTTATGGAGAATATACATATGTTCTTATGGATTAAAAGTGGCTTGACTATATGATGGACAAATAAATGTTGTGGCTCATTAATGGATCTAGTAATTGTGAGAGATTTTGAACATATATATTATATGGAAGCATTGATCCTCTTCCTTAGTTTGAAATTAATTTCTGCAACGACTGCATTGACCAACACATATCAACTTATTGAAATTGAGGGATGTTTAGTGTTAATTTAGTTCATTCAAAAATCTCAAGGTACGTGGCTTATTATAATACATTCATCTCGGCAAAGAAAGATGATGAAGAGTTGATTAAAATGGGCACTAAATATTTTTTGATAGATCTCCTCTAAATCACTGGCGGGTGTGGCTATTGAAACCGTTGGCAATAACAAATTTGTTGGTATATCATATTTATGTTTTTAGATTCATATGACATAGTGATACTCTTAAAAGGTGTTTTATTTTCTCGCAACTCTTGTTTAATATTGAATAATGTAATTCTTGATTTTTGTTCAAGATCTTATGAAAATTGAATATTTTTATAACTTGACTTTAAAATGTCTTCTAATTGGATGACCTCTCCCCGTACTAGTCCCAGGATACGTATGAGATTTAGTTTGCAGACTTGCACAAAGGTATAAATTTAAAATCGATACACTTATTTCATCCTCGTATTTTTTTGACCTATCGTTGGCATCCTGTTGAGAGTTCCAAACTTAACAATGATAACTAAAATACAAGGGTTAACGCGTCCATGATTCAATGTATCATTTCCTATTTGATCCCTTGAATTCAAAGTTGTTCATTAAAAAAAAAATTCAATTCAATATATTTCTCATGAACCCATACATGCTATATTGTATTTGAAATACCAAAGTTCTCTCTACTTCAAGGAGGTATCCACTTGCAATTCTTTGGCTTGGAACAATTATTTCATGTTTTTGCCATTCAGATCATGCTTTGCTCTAATATCACATTAATCATGCATTTCTGTGTTAATTTGAAATTAAGCTAAAGCTTCTTGATTTGAACTAGATGAGAAATTTATTTTTTTATTAATTTAATTGCAGAAAAGTACATGAATACAATAGACTAAAAAAAAGCTGCCAAAGGTGAAAACAAAATTAACAGAAATTCGCCCTATGTGTAGTACATTATGAAAAAAAGGTTCCAAATCAACTTATAGTTTGTTTAATTGCCCAATTTAAGATAAGAAAGAATATTCCTCCTTCATTTTTAGTCTTACTGATCCAAATGCTATATTACCAAAAGTATTTTAATTTCTAATTTCAAATTATTTTGAAATTCAGTCACATTTTGCATCCCATTATTTCAAACTGGATTTTTTCTCTTCTTCCCAAAAGTATGGTTATAACCTTTTCACGATATTAGAAGAAAATACCTCTTTTCTTTTTCTTAACAAAAAAGAAAACATAAAAACGGAACAAATATATACCGAATTCACGTGAATATATAAGTTCATATGTATATTCCAATATTAAGCTTATACCTAGATCTTGTATTCAAGTGGAATTAATTACGCATAATTCATATCTAACCCATGTAATTCATTTATAAATTGATTAAATTAGTTTGGGGTGCAATTTTTGAATGACCACCCGAACTATTTATTTATTTATTATATTTATACGTATAGACAATTATTTATATAATTAGGTTTGGATCTGAGATTTTTTTATATTTTCTTTTTGTCAATTCTGAGTTATTGGATTGATGTATCAACAATTCAAATCAGAATTTTAGATTGAATTGTATATATTTATTATTTTAAATAATCGTTGTAATACCCTTATAATCGTTGTAATACCCTTATAATAGTTATCATTTTTGAAAGACCTTTCAGTCTTTAAATCTTGATTTATCATATGAGTATAATTTTCTTAGAATTTTTTTATATCTATATTCATTTAAAAAAAAAAAAAAAAAATACTCCGTAAATAGTAGTACTATTACTACGTACAATTACAAAGTAACCAAATTGGATAGTAACCCAAAACCCAAGACGATTTCCCATAACTAGGGTTTAAGTTGGACTCGATATAAGAAAAATAAAGCCCTCGGGGCTCATCCAAATTTAACGATTCTCGAGCAGAATTGGAAATGGAAATAAAAAAAATAATAATAAGCAGACTAATCAAACACAAGAATGGCTTGAGGATCACGAACATGTCTCTCCAGGTAAGAATCAATTGCGCTATTTCCTACCAAATTTATTTGCTCTGCATTTACGTCCGATTTCTTTAAACCTCTGTTATTCCTTTATTTAGGCGAATTGTTTTTATTTGTTTGTGGAGTAAATTTTAATTTATTTGAATCATTTTCAGTACCCCTTTTCTTTAATTTGAATTTTATTTGTTCAATTGATTTGTTTCCGCCACGTCCGACACAATTCTGAAACCACTAATGAGGGGTTGGGGACCACTATTGGTATAGATAACTAAATGCTGAATAGAGACCATGGAATCATCAGTTTTTAAGGCAATTATTTTTTCCTTTTTCTTTTTTCTTTTTGGGTTGTACAAATAATCACTTTGTTTTATTTGCTTCTGAAATCACTACAGATTCTGAAATCACTTTGTTTTTAACATCATTTTTGCTCTACTTATGAGTTATGATAATGTATAAGTGAGTCGTTTCTAGGAGGCATGGCATCACCTATGAGGCTATGACCTACCTAGTGGTACTATTCATCTACTAGTGGAGTTTTCATCTCAATTTGTCCCAATAAACTATCTTTGCTATTTTAATGACTACCACCCAACAGAATTTCAACTATGAATTGTCTGGTGTCAATTTAAAATGAAGTCTTGTTCAGAGTATTGCTATCAAGAGCAATTTCATAGTTAGTTACACTGTCACATTGTTTTTAGAATTCTTACCAAAATATTTGCCTCCAATGTTTTGTTAACTTCTAATAATACTTTTATGTTATGTTTGGGAGCACTGAATCAATTTCCAATCCCAAATCCAAAGCGCCTATTCGATGCTGCCAAACTTAACATTAAAGTATTTGAAGTATAATTTGGAGGAGGATGCATTCCCAATGCCACCTCTTTTGTAGACTGTGATGCCAAATTGAGAGATTCAGGATTGTGTTCCTTTTTTTTAGTTATTTGTATTTTTTTCATTTCTTTTAGCAAAGGAAGGAATTGTTGTTGGTAGCGCTTTCTTGAAATTGTGCCTTGTTTGGTGTGTCGGCAACCAAAGTTGTAATTAAAGGGAGTGGTGGATGCAACTGTGAGAGTTTGGAGAGTATCAGCAGGTGTTAGAGTTTTTACCTTCCCATATTCACTTCAGAAAGGGAGTGGGGCTAGGGTGTATAATAGGGGGTTGGGGGTTGGGGTGGGGAACGGGGGAAGCATTTTGTTATTAGTTGTGTGGCTGTTCGACTTGTTTGTTTTGGAATTTAAGAATGGATGGAAAAAATGATAAATGGATTTCCTTAGTGGGGTTGTATCTTCACTTGTGGTGTACTTTCCTCTTTTAGAAATTTGGCGGTCTATATGGCATGTTTGCTTCTGGAAAAGGAGAGGAGAAAATTAGTGCTGAGAGGTTGAGCATGATGGTTTTTGAAGTATCAAAGATTTTGGACTTGATGTTAGTAATATATGGAATCATTTGCTATAAGATGTTCCCATTGGAGGAGACAATGCTACTACAACTTCACATTATTCAATTTGAAGTCTAATCTTTCAGTTGTAGTCATCATTGCACACTGTGTTGGAGTGAACAGAAGGTATCACCTATTCTGGACTTCTGTGCCAACAGTAATTATGCTGAAATGCTGCTCATTCATGATGTGGACATTTTTTTTATTTACTGGACTCTTGGAGGCCAGTAAAAAAAAAAATTCAATTGTTATCTGCAACATCCTTTGTGCAATTTAAGTGGGTAGCTTGGCAAATTGTGGAACATTATGATAATACTTTTTATTTTAAGTTTGTTACAGAATTACTAATGAATTGCATGCAAATCTAGAAAACGTCTCCATAGGACATACGCTCGCTCTGATGGTGCCAAATGTTCCGGGCTTGTCAGTGGTTGAATCCTAAAGACTTTCTTTGCAGCCAAGCATGTTTGCCTGTAATCAATATGAACAATTATGGAGCAATATTCAAAGTAATTAGTGTTTCTTGCTATTCACTCCTCTAGTGAGAAGTTGTCTATTGTGACTTGATGTGGATTTTGGTCTTCCAATTTACCGGCTTGAAGTATAACAGGTGGTTAGTGTTTAGCAAAGTGGGCCCTGAAACTTTAAAGGATAGCGACTGGTGGGACAAGTAAGGTAGACTTAGAAATAGTTGCATTTGTGGCAAGTTAGAAGTAGCACACAGTGAGGAAACTAAGACAGCATTGATTATAATAGCCTGGTCCTGTGTGTTGTATCGAAAGCCTTTTCTAAGCCTTGTGTTGAGGTTTGCTTCAATCTACAACTCCCTGAGGGTAAAATATTTAAGCAAGGTCCTCATTAGGAGTATGGATCTCAAACCAAGCTTAATTGAAGGTGCACCTAACACCTTGGTCGTGAAGCCTACACTTCCTGTGACATCGGCTGTTCATTTTTCATTTATTTAAGTGACCTACATTGTTTGATGCTTTCATTTGCTTAGCCATATTGATTTTATCTGTCTTATTTTATTATAAGTCAACCAAGTTTCTTGATTGAACCATGTTTAACCTTTTCGTCTTCGTAATTTTCTGCATGATTTAGTTATAAACCTACCAATTTTGGAATATTAATGCTCTTCTTTGTCTTCTTTTTATTTTTATTTTGTTTTTTAATTTTTTTGTGTGTTCTTGATATGCGTAAAATATGTTAATATATTTAATAATATATAAAATTATTTAAATATATGTATACATAGAACTATGAGTAGGATCGTGCTAGGTAGCTGACTGCAAGCTTAAAACCTTTGTCAGACCCTATCAACATTTTTTTTCTCTGATAAGTTGACCCCTATCGGCATGGATCTTTAGAATATTCGAGTTGAGTTTTATTTTCTACATAAAAATAAACAATAAATATATTTATGTCTTTTTTCTTGATGCTTACACCTAGCACTATGTGAAATAAATGGTTTACCTTACTTTTTTTGGCCTTCTAAAATATAATGTATATCTGAGACCAATGCTTTCAATTGGCAAGGAATGATTTGCTTACAATTAACGGTATTTTGAGGACGTGGAAGTTTAAAGTGCATGTGAGTCAAGGGGCTTTGGAAAAAGACACTTGAAAATTTCAAAGCCCAATGGGGACTTGCCCCGCTCTGCTCCTAATGAATAGGGTTTGGTTCTCATTTAATCAGGTTAGGAGCATAGTAGGAGATAAAGTGTCAAAACCCGTTGGACTCTGAAACCTGCCCCGTTTAGTTTTCAAAACTATATATATATATATATTGTTATTTTCTTTATTTTTAATGATATTTTAGATCGTAATCATAAAGTTAAAAAAAATTATGATTATAGTTGTTAAAAATATTTAATATATTTATTTCTATTCTAAAATGTTCTATCTTGAATATGTTTTGAATTGTATTTAGTTATTTAAATTAGACATATTGCTGAATTTTTTTCTTATAGTCACGGGTTACTGTATTTCTGATTAAAATTGAATCCCGTGTTCAATTTTTTGCCGTGTTTAGAATCCTTGGCAAACCCACTAGGAAACTCGTATGTCGTTACTCCTGTTATATATATATATATATTCCTTCCCCTGTTCTCATTTACTGATCAAACGGCACTGTGGCGACAATCCATCTCACTGTCTCCATCAATATTGGTGATATATTCTTTTTGGAAAAAAGAAAAGAAAAAGAAAGGATGAAAGCGCTCTCTGATGAGGCCATCATTTGTTTATCTGCTAAAAAAAAAAAAAAAATGATTTTCACACAACATTTTACTAGATTATTATAAAAAGGATAAGTTACAAAGATATTTCTGTTATCCTTTTGATTCCTCCAGTGTAATTTAAAATTTCTGTAAGCAACAATTTCAAAATTGTATCTTGTGCTGATGAATCTTAATTGGGTCATCCTATTCCAAGGACCGTACTCTTTTATTCTTGAGCTATGCTTAAAACAAATAAGACCACATTTGTCTACAATTCTAAATGTGCTAAAAATTCTAATGCTGTTGCAATCTGCTACAGCTTTAAGGCTGTTATTAGATAAAATCCTGAGCATAGTATTTGTACTCTAGAATAACATTCTAAGGTTGTGGGAAGAATTTCACCTTGATTTTGTTGCCCTTGCTGGTATCTCAAAATTCTATTGCTCAGGCTGGCTCAATTGAAGATTGATTGGCACATCCTCTCCGATGCTAAAACCATATGGAATGAGGGTGTTTCCAGAAACCACATTCACATCCCTTGTGCCACAAACCTGAAGCATAAAATCTCATTATTAGATTTTGTTAGATAACTTTCATATGTTTTGCTGACAAGGATTGTAACACATGAGTTTCTTTTTGGGGATGCCTAAAGATTGTCAGTACGCCAACCAGATACCTTCTTATACAATTCCACGTTTTCTTGACGAATGTGGTTTACCTTCTTGTAGAGTTCTACATTTTCTTGATGAAGAAGGTTTCCCTGTATGGATTCAGCAGACATTAGTAATTATAATTGAAATATTCTTAGTGAAATTCTTTTACAGAAAAGAGCCGTTGTTTGGATAGACCTTTTGGTTTAGCTCTTGTATCTCATCAGTTAATATCTGGTCCTGTGGAAGCCAGAAAACCACGCGACAGACGTATAAAAACCTTGTCAGTATTATGTGTTTTCTTCATATAGGCCACAATAATGGTTTCTTACCTTTTTCATACGGACACCTCTCAAACTCATTTCCAGCTGGTTCTCTAGATTTTGTAGGTCCTTGACACTCAAGCCATAAAGTTCTTCTCCCATCAATTGCCTGTCTCATCAAAATGGCAATACAGGTTCACTATTCGTTATATATATATATATATTGACACATCATATGTGTTAGAATTATATATCTTGCTGAGATAAGGAGAGTATTTTTTTTTTCCACCTTTTTTCTAGGGTTCCTATAAGGTTTTAAGCCTTATTGGAGAATCTTACTAGTCATGCCTATACTGTTGGCTTACCTTTGCATTCTTTTTGTTTTGTTGCACCAAGGGTTCCCCTTATTGGTTCTCTCAAGAAGATTTCTAGTTGGTGGGGTGTAGGTTTATTGGCAGGTGCGGTTGACGTTCAAGCTCATTCTCAGGAGTCTTGAAACTTGTAATGCAACCCTGGAAAGCCTTTAGCAGCTGAGTCAGCTGGCTCTTTGAGGCAAGTGGACTCAGGCTAACATTTGACATCTATGTTACTGACTGTATAACATATAAACAGTTCTTATTTTATCTAAACTCTTCTTGTTGTTAAACATATTTCATGACATATGGAATGGAGAACACAACTAAGCACAATCAGCTTAAGCTATTTTATATTAACAATCCCAGAAACTAATTAACCTTTCAATATATTGACACTTGAGTAAAGAAGACACTTTCCTGTCAGCATCACATGTCATCCTGCATTTTCCATTTCAACTTGTTTCCCCTTAATTCATGCATTTTCCATCACATGTTATCAGTTGTTTAATGCTTGGTTTAACATTGTGTGTGACTGACTGATTTCTAGTGTTAGGACTTGGGATGACTAGTTATTTTTCCAAGAGTTCTCCTTAATATTTCTTTCCCCCCTGAATAGTTTCCCTTGATTTTCAGCTTATATCATGTGGCTATTCTAAATAATTTATGAAGAAACTATTCTGTAGTTTCTTATCTTATCCTAAGCTATTTCAGGTTATTAATATTTTCATTTAAGGACAAAAGAGCTGCAAGCTAAAGGAGAAAGATTGTACCGATGATTTTCTTGCAAGTCGTATAACTGTTGCCTTAAGATTTCTGCCTCCCTTTGCCAAAGCTAGCAAGTAAAATAGCACTGATCAAGTGTATGCAAAACTATGATGTACTTTTTTTAACATCATGACCAAATAGAACTAATCTGCTAAAATTTTAAACATAACATGTTAGAGTAAGACATGCTTAGTTGAACAAATAAGCCAAGCTACATAAGCAATCATTATACTGGCTAGGTGTAACAAGTTGGGTGCTTGCCGGCTGACCCAATAGCTTAAGCTATTGGGTAGTGCTACATACCCCTTATATACTCAACACTCTCCCCATCCAGATCTGATGTGGGACGAGAACGTCTAACACTAGGCCAATATAGCTTTTGTTGGGTTATCAGAGCTATTCTACTAAATTGCTAATTCTTCCATTGCTGGTAAACTCTAGTAGGAGTCAAAACTTTGACCATTTTAAATTCAATAGAGATGCCACCCCATTCCAGTGGAACTATGTTACAAATTTTGTGTATTAGATTGAAAACTGAATGATATGATGGTTAGTCAACTGGAATTTTCTTTGGCATTCCAAATTTTTCATAATTCATTTTATCTGATATTTTCCAAGCATGCTATATGATTCCAAATATAATGAGTGAAGAGAAGAAACTTTCTCAATGAGTGTTTACTAGCATTGATGTTGATTGTTAATTCACCTAGTTGCCTCTCCTGTTTGAAGCTTATTTCTGCATAGTTTCTTTTGGTTCAACAAAATTACTAGCTGTCTAGAAACTCCTATAATTCCTCTCCTCTCCTCTCCTCTCCTCTTCTCTCCTCTCCTCATATTTACTCCTTTCTCTTTACTCAACTCATGCCTTACCAGTACCATACCTGAAGGAGGTTAGTTATTACATAAGGATTTGATCAATATAAAAGTTATGATAGAAGTGAGTGATTACATTTGTTATTCCTATCGGAGATTGGAGAAGTGTTTCTTGTACATGGGAAAGACAGTCAGTAGCTCGGTATATGGCATGCACATACTACATCCAACTTCCAATAATGTTATATTATAAATAAATCTGTGTTACAAGAACAATAATCTAATTTATTTCATGGTTCCGCAACTACTTTTCAACATGATGCTGTTATATACATCCAAAAGATTATCAAGTGGCCCATGTATTATCTTAGTTGGAAGCCATTATATATCCTAGCAATACTGTTCGGTCAAGACAAACGAACCATCTTATAATGGAATCATGTCAAAACATTGTGCAATCGTCAAGAGATTCTTGCAACATAATGTGCTGGTTATAGATTTGTGGATATATTTATCAAGTACTAGCATATAGTAATTGGTCATTAGCTCATTTCCTTGGCTGATAGCATGATAATGTGAGCTGGTGAAATGATTTTAAGTTCCTTTGGAACCATGTACTTTACTTTATATTTTCAATATGTATTCCACTCCTAATTTTGATCTGTGCTCTCACTATATATATATATATAGAGAGAGAGAGAGAGAGAGAGAGAAATTTGGGGATCGGGCTGTTTATATGCTCTTCCTTTTTTGAGTTGGTAAATAATAATTGCATTTAGCTGGAATATCTATTTTTTTTTTTATAATTAACATTTAGCTGGAATATCTATATGATGCACTTGGAAGCCACAAGTCTCCAAATTCTTATGAAGTTTCAAGAGCTTGTGGTGATGACGTTTATTACACAAGAAGGTATGTAAACCATGTCATCAAATCAAGAATGATAGATAGTATACCTTTTCTTTTGGGTAACACTATCAATCAATTGTGCTTTTGAGAATCCATCAGGTTACAAAAGCATAAAGCATACAAATATTTCTAGATGATTTCATTCTTGATTATTTAGGAACTAAACTTTTGTGTTTTCTTAGTAACATTCTAATATTTCAAATTCAGAATATCATATGGTTTTGATAAGTCCTTACAAGCATTTACTTTGGAATGAGTTTTACTCCAAATAGACTAATGTGCAGTAGCTTTAACACGTTTAGGGGAAAATTGGCTTACTTTGTGAATTCATTCTGAGAAAACACAAAATATCATTATTTAAATGGCTGGCGGATTTAGGTTTTTATTATTTATTTTGAGCATAGTGTTATTAATTTTTATTATATTTAATATAATATAATATTTCTTATCATTGGGCCCATTTATTTCTTGGAATTTGTTCCATTCTAGCACTTCTTCTCGTTATTCATTTTGTGGTGTTCATCAATCTACTCATTGGGTCTTTGTGATTGTGGTTGATACTGTCTATCACACTCCCCTAGTTAATGATTCAAAATTTAAGATTAGGAGCTAATTTTTAAAGTATCAATATAGAAAATAAAAATTTTGCGCTGATTTAAAATTTGAGATCCATCATTTGGTAGGAAGGAAGGAAGTGGGAAGAGAAAGGAAGAAGGGAGTAGATGACTTTCCTCAAAACCCACCAAATCCTTTTTGTCAGAATTGGGCAGAAAGGAAAGGAAAGGGCTCCAAAATCTTTTATCTTTACATTTTCCATTTCATTCTAAACCCATTAATGTTTAACGCTATAATGGGAAAATGTTATTCTAAAATGTTATCTTTCCATTCTCTTACTTTCCCTTCCTCCAAATTCATATTTCTTTTATTGAAAAATCAATAAAGTTATACAACTTTTCTGTCAATTTTTCTATGGTTTTATGACACAATTCCATTAAAAAATAGTTCGTTTCTCTTGGCCGAGCAGGATTCTAGAATATTGCTATTTGATTTCTTTCCTCTTGATTGCACATAAACGCAGTGTGGTTTTTTCACTTACCAAAAAAAAAAAAAAAAAAACCCAGTGTGGTTTTTTCATCATGGTTCCATTAATGGCTTTCAACCATTTAATATTGCCTAGATGCACTTTTAGATCTTTGGCAAAGTCCTATTTCCCATGCCTGTCATCCTAAGGTTGACAGGCAAACAACACTACACCACCATTCTAGGATACCTGTGTGCGTGATGCTAGATAATATTTGTTGGCAAATTGGTGAGCACCTAGAATTGTACTCATTCCATCTGAATGAGGGATTGTACTTATGATTGACACAACAGAGATGATTTTTTCAAGTTCATGTGCACTTCATATACTAGTAAGCAATTGCTTGAAGCATAACATCATTTGCTATGATAAGAGAGCCATACTTGAGTGAAGTTGGATCTGTATCTTTTCTTTTTCTTATTTGAGATGAGAACTTAGGTTCAATCTCTGTTACATATAAATACTGAACTTCGAATATCCTAACTAGTGGGAAAAGAACCTAGAGTGATATATGATTTTATAATATCTTGTTTGGTCAAAGTTAAAGTAACAAGAATTGATCTATCAAAAACAGAAACATAAATGATGATGTAAATGATCAATATGACCTGAACGACCTGGACTCATCAAAGATTTGTCCCAACTATTTAGAGTATAGATGTGCGAGCCTTGTTTTACCTTTATGCTTTGGCTAGGGCCATAAATTCACTTAAACCATAAGCTATTCTGCCCTTCCTAACCATCCTAACAGATGTTAATTTTTGTCCTCACATCTTCCTAGCAAGAACCTTATTGTGGACTGTCACTCTTTTTCGTTTGTCAAGTTATCCCTTTTCATTGCACATCTCCACAGCTCTTAGTTGGTTGTTTTTCTTCTTCATTTTATCTTCAATGGGTTTCATTACAATGTTTTACGGAAGTGTTTAAATTACAATGGATACTAAATCAAGTAGAAGATATCCACAATCACTGCGAGTCATGGATATCACTTAAACTTGGACTTGAATTTGATACCTCAATTTAGTACCCTGAGACCTTGCTGTCCAAGCAACTCTGGCGGGTTTTCACCATGCATATTCTCATCTATGTATTTTAGCTGCTTTGCAAGTGCTTCCACAACACTCAAAAATCGTTATTTTCTTATTAGTAGAAGATATTTATATGCACAATTTACTACACAACTTTTTAACTCTCACTAATCAAAGTAAATATGCAATGAAGAGTTTCTCTAATATAGCTTTATTTCTGTTAGAAATTTGCAGGTGGAGATTGAAAGAGGTTTGAGGGAAGCGTACCTTGACTTCTGATACGGGATTAAGTAGTTGGTGATGTTCCTCTTTTGCTTTATAATATCGATCAATTACTGATTTCATGCTGACAAGAGGGAAAGCATTGATCAGATTCTTGGTCACTATATTTATAGCTTTAGTAAATGGGAAATGCGACATAAATGGCTTTAGTGCATCGCTTTGAAGATAATAGCAACTAGGAAAAAACTCGTAGAGAAAAAGTGAAAACTGTAAATAAAACTGTAATTTCTTTGTCTAAAGTTCTGAACTCTCTTGTATTTCATGCAAGTATATGTTGGTCATGATTAATACAACTATACACAAAATTGATCATATTAATCTAGAGGCACAATAATACAGTGTATTTTTTTTTTTAACCCCCAAAACATCCCCCCAAAAAACAAAATAAGAAAGAAGGGGGAAAAAGAGCAGGTGTCTCATTTTTCATTTCTTACTCAAAGTTTAAAAGGAATCCCTTTCTGATTTTAAAGAACAGTAATTGAATCATGGAACATATAAATTTGTTTAGGATCGAGAGACAATAATGTCATATGTTCAGTATTTTTTTTGGTTCTTCTATCATTTTTCTTAATGTTTTTCCACAACTTTGCTTGCTTCTGGTCTGACCAGCTGATGCTTGACAATATTTTGAAGCTGAGGTACCCCCAACATGTTTGTGACATAAACTGCCTACTCTTTGGAGTGAATGGAGGAACTCTCTAAGCACATGGTTGGTCTCTTTCTCACTTTCTGCTAGGGTTTTCTTTACATATTTGCACATTTTATTGCACATCTTATTGTCATGTATGATTCATAAACTGGTATAAGCATCAGATAATCTTTAATAAGATGCACGCCGTGACTCTGCCAGAGGGCATTTATTGCATTTTTCTTATGTTATTTTGGGATCAACATTGATTATAGGTCAGGAACACATTAGGAATTATTAGTGCACTTGAATTATCTTCAATAATTGTCAAAGTTTATAACAGTTGTTGAGGTGGAAAATTTCATTTACTTGAGGTGGTGTTTAAAAGAATGGAACGGGACAAAAAGGTTGGGAAAAGTTATTCCCCTTCCAGATTTCATTTTCCTTGATACATTTTGAACCGTGAATTATTATTATTTTTTTGTAACAAAGAATCAAACTACGCACTAGCCACTTTGGATTTTGGATTCTCAGATGGTTTGTAAACTTTGAATGCAAAACCGCGTGCAAGGCATCACCTTGGTGTGAAGAACCACTCAAGGGATTACCCTGAAAAGCCTTACTAGTTGAGTTGTTCAGAAGGTTACTATATTCTTCTTAGCCTCCTAAACCTTTCAAATGATTTATGTTTAATTAACTTTTGAAAGTAACTTATCCATCTTTCATTAATTTTACCATCTTATCCATCTTTTGTTATATTTCAGGTCATAACAAAAGATGTAATCCAGTAGTGCAGCAAGTATTGCAACAAAGAAGTCTGCCAAGAATTTATAGACCTGTCCGATTTAGTAGTACTCTATAACAGTTTTTGACAACTTTGAAAGTGGAAAATGGTTTTCAAGGATTGTTATCTCAAATTGGATACTTCTTTAAATAACAGTTAAGGTAAAGTGAGAAAAACAACCTAATGTTTAAAATTTGGGCAAATAACTTCTCTAACCTTTAGTTTGGGTATATTACTTATACAAACAAAAAAAAAAAAAAAACCTTTATTTTGGGTATATTAATCCGTTCTTAATTCGCATAATATGTTAGAAAATCACATTTAAGTAGTCACGTGCAACCTATATTAAGTAACAAATTTTCTAAACTTCCCTTTTGGTCTCTCCAAAATGTTGTTATACCATTTTACATATAAACACCATTTCCCTCTTTTGGTTAGGGTGGTTTGGTCATTTTATATTTATTTTGTTTTTCACCTTCTTTATTTTCAAATACATGAGGGCACTTTAGTCTTTTAATCTCTCTACCAACAATAGGCCCTTGTTCGCACAAAAAAATATAAAGATTAAAGATTTTTAAGAAGCTATAGAGGGTTATGTACCCTATTTGCATATTATAAAGGTGTTCGAGTGACCCGAAAAAACTGCAACTAAAAAGAACTTTCAAATTATGTTTATCTGTTTTCTAAAACCAGAAAAGTTCTCATAAATTAAGATGAACTAATCAGATCTACCGGAAAAATGAAAAAAAAAATGAACAAACCAACAATTTATTTCTTTTGGATGCATGGGAAGAACGTGCTAAAACCTCAGATGACTTACTGCATTTTAATACAAAGTCCCAAGAAACTTATTGCATCTTAACTCACGCCGTAATGTGTAACTCATTAACTATTGAAACTATATACATTAATCTGAAATAAAATCACTCAAACTTGTAGAATTCAATAATGTTTTTTTTTTTTTTTTTAAATTATATATATATATATATATATATATATATATATTATCACTGTGGAAAGGAGTTAAAACTTTATATCTTTAATTATTTTGTTTATATATATAACTCCGTGTTAGTTACTATAATTTTACTTCAAACTTTCAAAACAATTATATTAATTTGTGTCATAATCTAACATTAATCTTATTAAACAAGGGCCTTGTAAGTTAATGGTACTTTATCGTCTTCTAAAGTAAAAGGTCGAGGATTCAAGTCCCCATAAAAACAAAAATGAGTATGTAAGTGTGCTTATTATCAATTAAAAAAAAAAAAAATTTTAACCTGATTGTATATAAATAACAAGCATTCATACAAATATAAAAATTATAAACTTTATCTTGTAATTTGAGTTAATCGAATTAATAAAATCATGCTCACACTTGTAAACTTTATCTCGGTAGTTAGTTCCACCCTTACTTAGGACTTAGGAGTGAACCCTATAAAAAAAATTAAAAAAATGAAAACTGGGCCACTTACATCAAGAAATTTTTACTTGGTTTTTGTTAAAACATCCTGTTGTGCCTTTTAGCCTTTTTTTTAAATTCTAAATCTGATGTGATTTATTGATTTACATTTTACGTTTGAGAAAAGGGTTTTAAATACTTTTTTTTCTTTTAAAAGCAAATTTCTAAAGCAAACATGGTGTTCAATTTCAGTATTTTTATTACACTAAACGGTTCATTATGTATTTGATATATTCCAATAGAAGTTTCTCAAATGGAACAAAACCCTACTGACTGTCTCTCAAGGTAACAACACATGCATGGGACATTGGCAATTACCACTTTGACTTGACATACCATACGGAATAGATAAAATTATTTCTATTTTTATTTTTTATATTGACTCTTCATTTAAGTGGAGAAACTTTATCATTAAAAAAACTAGTATCAACATGCACAGTGACCCCAAAATGCAATTAAGTAGTAGCCTTTATAGCATTATATGATGGTGATATGTTACCTAATACATTGATTAGCTCTCTCCTTACTCACCATTCTACTTTGAAATCAATTAAAGCATGCACGCAGCAGCACGCAGCCAACTTTTTTATTTTTTATTTTTTATTTTTTTTTATTTTTATCTATATAAGTATGAAAAATGATATTATAATCTATCTCTACATATAAAATCATAAATTATATATCATGGCTTCTGTTCTATAATTGGAAAAAACAACCTTTTGTGTGCAAATAATAATAATAATAATAATAATAATGAATAATGGATAGATGAAGGTTTTTCTAGGGATAGAATACTTGGTTAAGGTTTCTTCTACTTTTTTCCCCAAAAAAACAAAGAAAAGAAAAGAAAATGACATAGATAAAGAAAAAATAAATATTTTTTTAAAGTAAATTAATGGATTTAGGAGGCCAGGGTCTTGTCACAACAATTTGAGTCTGCAGAGTGAATTATAGAGGAAATATAGCCTATATAGGCTTAGGATGTTTGACATGAAAGAACTGATTATCTTAATTATAAATTTATAATATAACACCTTTATTACATAGCCGAGGTGCAAATTAGCTCAACATTGTATTAAATTTTTTTTTTTTTGGGGTTAAATCATTGTATTAACATTGTAATTTCTTGTTTACTAGTTCTCAGGTCAGTCCAATTACATGGAATATATACATGACTGTAGAGAGCACCCTTTGCTAATCACCTAATTGTAGATGGCTTATTACTCCTTCCAACTTTGTTCAAATGGAAAGGAAAAAAAAACACAAAAAAAAAAACAAATGGATTAATCTGATGAGATCCACATGTTATTAACTATATATGCACTCTCTTTCACACTCCTAGGAAATTAATAAGTCTTAAGTTAGACTCTTAGAGCATGTTAATTATATTCTATATATATTAGCTTTTTTGTCATACTAGTATAGGGTGAATGAACTAAAAATCTTTCACAGTACCATTAAATTAGTGATGAGAAGTGCGGTGCAATCTTTAGGTGTCTGTACAACAGATGCAAACAAATAAATCTTGTCTTTATAGACTTGTGTTGCCATGCAAACTATGTCACACACAAAACATAAACTTCATATCAACATATATATATATATGTGTGTGTGTGTGTGACCTCTACCTATAAAAATACGTGTACACAAACTATCCAAGTCCGTATAGGGGGGAAAAAAATAGGCTATTTAGGAGATCAAGAACTAATATATACCAAGTATACTTTCGATATTATACAAGCCAATTCTGTTCCTTAATGACGATGATTTTACAGAGCATTCAAAAATACAAAACTTAAGGATACAAATAAAGTAAAAAGAATGATAAGATAGACATGGCCAAATTAAGGTTGTCAAAAAAACCTGGTGCTTGAGAATTCATAGAGCTTGCCAGTGCTGGAAAAGATAACCAGCCCTACTTCTGCATCACACAGAATCGCTAGCTCCTTCGCCTTCTTCAACAATCCGTTCCTTCGCTTTGAGAAAGTCACTTGCCTGCTCGTCGTGTTATCGATCCTCCGGATCGCAATCTTCCCTCTCCCCATCCTCACCAGTCTATAATATAGAATCTAGGGTTTCTGCAATACACATATATTGGGAGAAAAAAAGTAAGTGTATGTGTATGTGTGTGTGTGTGGTGTGTGTGTATATATATATATATGTAAAGAGTATATATTAGATCTTAAGAAATGAAGTAGAAGAGTAGTAGCTGAGAAATCGAAGACATGATGAAGCAAAGCTTACATGGTTAAGTTTGAAACTGATTAATTGTGTTGTGAAGAAGTACTAATTTGCTTCATATCAAAGTCAAGAGTGAATGAGTCTTTTATAAGCAAATGGGTGGTTTTGAGGTAGTGCAAAAACTGCTTTTTGAGCTGTTTGGTATCTAAAACAGCTACTACTACTAAAGAAAGTGGTTAATTTTAAACTCGAATTCACATTGAAGAAGTCGAGAATGAATCATCAGTACTACTCCTTTTATATTTCTCTCTCTTTTTTTTTTCTTTTTTTTTTTTCGACTGTTCCGATGGCGCCGTCCGCCGTCTTATTCACTGACACGTGGGAATACGAGTCTTTATTTTACCTTAATTAATATTAATGCTAAAAATAGAAAATACATTTTGTAAAGTACTCTCACTATAAAGTCAATACCCTCGTTAGGCATGCAACATAATAATACTGATAATTAATTAATTAACTAAAATTTATGCATCAATTAATTAACTAAAGTTTAGATTTCTTTAAATGTATAATTTAAATTTTAATCATTCATAAACAGGTTGGGTTGCAAATGAAATGGGTGTCAAAAAAGCCTCCCCTTTTTTCTTTTTCTCTCTCCCTTTTCTTTCTTTTTTTTCTTAAGGTCAAAAAAAGTCATGACTTTGTGTGTTATTGTGTGTGTGAGTGAGAGAGAGAAGAAATAAATTTTTTTTTTTTTCTAAAGTTTCAATTTAGGTAAAAAGTATTTACCAAAAAAGCAACAATTAGGTAAAAAAAATAATAATCTGGTGCTTGGTTAGTATTTGGAAGTTGGAACTGCTAAACAAATTCCTGAGCGCAGATCACAATAATATTTATATTAATTATTTTTTATGCAAATGTTAAGAAGAAGATGACCCAATTCCTTACTTGTATTGAACATAATATATTAGCAATATTATTCACATATATTGCTTGGAAATTAAGTGAAATGTGGAAAGAAAATCTCATCAATAGGTTTATAGCATAGGTTTTCTATTTACATCTTGAGCATTTTAGTCATGTTCATATATTGATTGTTCAACAACATTTTAGCTCAGCCATAAGACTCTCCCAAAAATAGATGGTTACATGACACTTATTAATCAGTATTATGAGAATATCGACAATGTAGCACTCTCGACCAATAATGAATTATTATGTCCTCTCGTTGAGGAAGATAATGAATTCAAAAATATTGGCCAGAAGTACTATATATATGTGCGGGATGCAATAGCCAAGAGCTAAAATCATGCAGAGTAGTTTGTGTAAAACTCAAGTATATAAATTTCCACATGATCATTTTAGGCTACTGCTTGAGTGGAAAAAAAGTCCAATGTATCCCAAAATGATTCTAGAACTTAAATTAAATTAAAAAAATTTCTTCAATTATGCGCAGAACCATAACCATATATATATTCAATTAAAAAACATTAAGACCTATGTGTCCCATGAGTGCTCTTCATGGTCTCAAAGTCAAAGTAAACAACTCCTTTCCAAAGTGCACTATATACAAGGCCTTTCATATTATAGCATTTGTCTTCAATCAATGCAGGAAAGGCAATACAATAATCCAATATGAAATGAAAATTGATGCAAGTATTTTAAAATTATTATTATTATTATTGTTATTGTTTTATAATTTTGTCATTTAATATGTAGATTCACTTATGAATGGATTAACATATGTGTATTCTGATTTATCTATAATATTGGTAAAATTACATTGAACTAATACAAGTTTTAATTGATTTGCTCTCTCCTAACAGAAATTGAATATATAACACATACCAAGACATAATCAGCAGAAACACAAGTGAAAAACTCAAATCACCCATACACCAATCGAGGGAAGTCTTGGCACGCTTCATCGAGCTTAACCCAATGCCAAACAATCCGTACAGCCAACCCACAGGCATGTGAGATTTACTCTGCCAAAAGATCATGCAGCTAACTCAAATTTGTAAAGTTTATTCGTATTATCAGTACCAAGTTCTTTTTCTTTGGAGTGTCAGGATGTGCCCTAACTAATTTCACACATATCAGATGAAATTCGGATTATATCCACGGCGTGATTTTTAATTAATTATTTGCACTTAGGAAGAATAAATCATTAAACCTCATGCTTCATGATGCACCAAGACCTAAATATTTTTCAATTAGAAGAACTCCTTAATTAGGGTTTCAATATCAACGTATAACTATCATGAAGTTGATCTCTTCGTAGTATTACTCATACAGCATGTAAGCATTGCATATAAAAGCTAATGACCTGTTAATAGTGGTGGGAGGTTGGTCCATACATGAAACAATCATGAAAGATTTCGATGGCTGTCTACAAACTCAGCCTCCCATTGGTTGATGCCCACGTGAACTCAATTTGTTAAACCAATAAGATTCGATCTTAACGGGGGGAAATACTTAAATAATTAACTAAGCCCTAATTTTGGATTAAAGAGACCCCAAAATCAAGGGATTAGACTAAATTAGTGTAGTTCTCGTACTTTTGACTACTTGTTTAGACAGGTGTCAATCATCAACAAATGATATACGTGCAAAGACCAAGAGAGAAAGGTGGTGTAACATACAAATCCAATAGTTTATCATCCCAACAATGGAAATGTCACTTTACTGACTCATCACACCATTGAAAATTAGTTGTTTGAAGTGTTTTTGGTGTTAGCAGAGACAATTTAATAAGAAGAGAAGCACATGAACTTTATCATAATTGTCGATTTGCATCCATCCATCCAAGGAAAGGAGATATGGCTTTTTTTGGAAGAGGAGATGTATGTCCCTTTTATTGACCCATGCCCACATGCGATGCTGCTCACACAGAGTTTTCACTTCCATCACGTAGTATTTTCACACAGTCTTCTTCACTAGCTGTGCATGGTTTTTATTGAATGACACAAGGATGGTGAATATATTCCATTCTTGTTTGGTACTACTCTAACCTAGTTTACTTGTTGGGGCCGGTATCTACGTCTTTTTCCCCTTTTTTCCCGATCCATTACTTCAAAAGCATTCAAGACGCTCTTCGTTGTTAGGTATGAGAAGAGTTAAATGTACACAGTTTTATTTGTGAGTCCGAACACGTAATCTCGATCTAAGTTATAAAATAGTAACCTTATTATTGTGTCAAAGCCTACCCTTTAAACATTTAAATTTGTAGTCTTCTTATATACAATTTCTTAAAGTAAGAATGGTGCGTGGATTTGAAGGGCTCTCTATATTGCATAATTTTAATCATTATTCATGTTGAATACAATTAGTATACATTTAGTACACAACTAGGAACTTAAAGGGTCTTGTACTTTTCACTAGCCAGAACGAATATCATATTACTGTTACTTTTACTTTCTAACAATATTCTATTTTATTCATGTTGAAGTTGAATGCAATTATAATCATAATTTACATATATATATATATATGTATATATATATTTTAACTGTTATAATTAATTAATCAGCATTGATGGTACCCGATCCGGTAGAAGCAGCCAAAAGATAATCTGCGAGTAATAAGTTATCTGATCATTCATAGAAAACCAATCAATTCGCTTCACAACATTTTGAAATAGCTCCTATTGTTGTTGTGGTAAATTAAAGAATCTAGGTTGACAGTTGTAATACCTCAATATTTTAAAAGATTTATTAATTTTAATTAATTGTTTTTATTTTATTTTTAAATGATTTGTTTAATTTATTTCGGTTTAATTGCTTTTATTTTTATTTTTAAATGATTTGTTTTATATATTTGATTGTATATGATGATTGTTTGTGGGTGTGCTTGATTATTGATTGAATTGGTGTGTTGGTTTGCTTTATAAGAATGTCATGATTGTGTTATTTTTAAGTTGTTTATTTGACCATGTGTAATTTTATGATAGTGTGATTTTATTGTGAATTAATTGTAATTATTAGATTTAATTGGATTAATTAATTTATTTAAGTTAATAGGTTTGGGCTTAGGGGGAGTGGAACCAATGGATATGGTCTTGGGCTTGGATGGAGCCTTTTTGGGTTAATTAATAAAGGCCCATGGTTAAGTGATTATTTTAATAATTATTTTTGTATAATTATAAATATATATTTAAGTATATATTTAATAGGTGTTATGGAATGACATATATATATATATATATATATATATATATATATATATATATATTTATTTATTTATTTATTGAAATATATAGGTATATATATGATTTAATTAACCAATGGGTTAATTATGGAAGGTATATATATATAAAATAATAACATTTAAATAATATATATCTATAAGCATATATATATATATGCTTATAGATATATATTATTTAAATGTTATTATTTTAATTCATAGTCCTAGTTGAAATAGGATTAGGAATTTAATGTGTATAAATATACACATAAGGATTTAGGGTGAAATGTTTTCACACGTTAGAAAAATAAGAGAGAGAGAGAGATAAGGAGAAGGCCAACAAAGAGGAGGCCGAATCTGAGAAGGAGGACGTTGGGATTGGAAGAGACGATCAAAGCTTGAAGCGTCGATTTCATTTCGAAACCTTCATGCGAGTTTTTCTCTAACTCTCCTCTTAGAACTCATAAATATTTTACCTTGAATATCAAAATTTTAGGTTAAATTTATTCATTAAATAATGGTTAGAACGGATTATTTAAAAGTATGAATTATTATATTTTTAATTTTGGAGTATTGGATTTTAATTGTATATATAGATGTTGTATATATATTTTAAAATCAATTTATAGGTGGATCTGTGACCCAAGAGGGGTAATTAGGGTTTCTTTATTTTCTG